ACACATCTCCTCTTTCCCGGAAACCTGGTCACTCCATTAAACTCCTCTTTAGCAGTTTTACAGTTTTGTTGGCCTTTAGCCTTTTCCGCTAATCAGCATAAACAATCACAACATATTATAATATAAAAACGAGTGATTACAGTCATACACACTTATTATGGAGGATGGAAAAATAATAATTGCATTGAATTTGATCTAACCTTAGAAGCAGCAACAAGAAATTTTGCTAAATTACTATTTTTTTTTCTTATTTTTAACCGAAAGAAGATAAACTAGTTTGGACGCAGATGGACGTAATCTTTAATATCTATCAATATATTGCGCTCTAAGAACATTGTAAAATGGTCAAACAATTCTCCGATTTTATAATAGTCTTTAATGGGGTTTCAATCACCCTCTAAACCTCTCGTTTCTACGGTTGACTCAATCACTCTTACACATATTGATATATACGGATTGTTCAATTACAATTCAAGGTGCCCCAACACTTTTACACTTGATAATTCCGGATTGCCCAATCACTTCTTAAAAGTATAGTCTTTACGGGTGAGTAAATTGCTTTTACAAAAATCGTTATTACGAGCGAGTCGTTTACATTAACACGTACGTCATTCTTACGATTGACACAATTACTCCCACACTCTGAATATTTATCGGTGGATGGACGTCTCTTTCATATCTCTTCTTCACAAAAGACTCGCATAAAACCCAGACTCCCTTATAGTTGTCTCTTTTAAACGTGACAAAATTTCGTCAATACACATCTCGTCTTTACTATTGACTCGTGACAACTCTTTAAGTTCTTCACAAGTGACTTCAAGAAATTGAACTTGAATTTGTGATTAATATTGTGTTAAGCTGGAAGTTAAACAGACGATCTCTTCCTTCTATACGCAAGTATTTCAGATGTCACACTTGCAGAAATCACAAGTACTCAATCAATTTGGTTTAGTCTGTTTCTGATTTGATCAGAAATTACTCTGCGGCAACTTGAACATTTGTGTTTTTATGCCATGAATCGTACGCGTACGTTCATGTAGTAATCCGTAACGTCAGAAAGTGTAAGTGAATGATATATAACCAGAAGGGAAAATGTATATTTTTATTATGATTGGCGGATAACATTAGCATGTTAATGAATCCGCCTTGGCAGGCTATACAGCTATTGTATGATAGTATACATGTGGGTAACGGACTACTAATTTATATACTATAAGGCGTGAGAAACATTACCGCCGGTGTTTCACAATTTTTGTTTGTTTGTGTTACAAACTCGACTGTGCCGTGGTATCACATGCAATATTAAATCTTATGTACACAGTCGTGTTGTCATAGTGTGAAAATGTTAATGAGGTGGTGCTTATTTAGTGCAGACATGGTTTGGGAGAGCACCGAACATCAGTGAAACAAATTCGTCTATAAGTTTATGAGATTTCCGTAAAAATCTCGTAAAACATACTGATACTATCATCTTGAAAAAAAGTAATCCATCGACTTGGCGATGTCCCGAGTTCCGGTGTCCAGACGAGTCAACAAAGTGAATTTTTTGGCAGGAAGCGAAAGACTGCTGAGAGTTCATCACAAAAATTCGGTATTCTCGCGAGACTTACAGCACTGCTTGGAAAAGTTGGACGTTACTTGTCGAAAAAATCTCAACAAACTTCAGCAAACGATATTTGACGTATATTATGACGAATTCGTGCCTATTCGAGAGGAGGCCAGTGCGCTGAAACTTCCAAAGTTACCTCTTACTGTCAGGAACGTGTCAACAGGCGATAGGAATACCGGAGTTGTAATTACCGAAATCCCCAATGGCAGACGTGAGAAAACACATACATCGTCTTTATCTAACGACCTTTCTAACATCAAAGACGGAACCCCTGAGAAACAGAGGCCATTTACGATATCAGGTTATAGGCATTCTGTGGCAACGAATGCGCCAACTAACTGTTCCATGAACCAGAGAGTGGATCTTCCACCAATACAGCGTAACTGTATGGGAAGTATGTGTAACCATGGATTTGACAAGACTGGCTCATTCACTAACTCGGATACAGAAGACAGCCCAGATGTGGACAGTAAGACCTTACATAGGATAAAAAACGCTATCGCTCTAACGTCACAACCAAGTAAGCCTAAACTATCTAAGAAGGAAAAGATGCTGCGGAAGAGTTTTCTTCTCAGTTTACGCAAGACAAGTAAATCGGTCTGGCATAGTGAAATGTTACTGCGAGTGGATGGCGATATCAATCCGCCGGAGAGACAGTTGATGACGCCGAAAACGACCCTATCGGAATCCCGAGAGGCAAAACTGGCCAAGTTATTAATGTTGTCAACGTCAGAAGAGGATGACACGTCACTTGATAAATCGGAGGCTTTGACGGTTGACGCTACAGACGAAGGGCGGCAGTCCAGCCTCTCCACACATTACGCCAACATATTCCAGATGCGTGAAAAAACTCTAGGAAGTGATATATCATCTGACAATGACATCTGCCCGGAAAGTCCAACTTACTTCAGCGAGATCTCTGAGGAGCCTAGTTTCCTGTCAGATATGGAGAGCGATACATCTTATTACACTCAGTCTGACTCGGCATCTATTTAGCAAAGTCATAACTATTACACATAGATATTAATTTTAAAATATACCGTACACTGCACAAGTTCAATATGAATATTCCGCTATCCACATGCTGAAAATCAAATAAGAAAATATCAAATTAATCAAGCAATGACAACGCATTTTGTCTGGATGTATGTAAAGTGTAGCAAACATTAATGTTCCTTGATTAACAAAGTAAAAACAATCGTCAAATCTTGTTAAAACTGTAACGGCATTGTATCTTTTTCATACCACCAATACTGTGTTTTTATTGATATATTCTGTTTTTAATAATACCAGAGGGATCTTTGTTTGATCTTTCTTGGTGATTAAAAGTTTGTTCTTTTGCCTTCTTTCCTTTTCTTCTCTTTGCTTTTGAAATTTGAAAAATCCTCGTAAGATATAACAATAACAAACTTTCCTTGTCAAAATCAAAGATGATCGCATTGAAGTCATTTTTATCAGTCCCGAAATCAAAATTGCACAAGAGACAATGGGAAATCTGCTATGCCTATCGGCCATCTTGTTTCTCTGATCAGTCTCAAAATGTAATCTACACAACGAGGGACCGAGGTAACCCGGCATGTGAAATTCGAACTTTTTCAGAAATTACCATAAACCCTAAAAATCAACATCAATGATGACCAACTGCCAGCCATATTATTTTTCAGATCTGTCCCAAATATGTGATCAGTGACATGACACAAATGATCAGTGATAAGAGACACATAATCAGTGATGAGAACATGTGATCAGTGATAAGAGTCACGTGATCAGTGATCAGAACATGTGATCAGTGATAAGAGTCACATGATCAGTGATCAGAACATGTGATCAGTGATAAGAGTCACATGATCAGTGATCAGAACATGTGATAAGAGTCACATGATCAGTGATCAGAACATGTGATCAGTGATAAGAGTCACGTGATCAGTGATAAGAGTCACGTGATCAGTGATCAGAACATGTGATCAGTGATAAGAGTCACGTGATCAGTGATGAGAACATGTGATCAGTGATAAGAGTCACATGATCAGTGATGAGAACATGTGATCAGTGATAAGAGTCACATGATCAGTGATCTGAACATGTGATAAATGATAAGAGTCGCATGATCAGTGATCAGAACATGTGATCAGTGATAAGAGTCACATGATCAGTGATCAGAACATGTGATCAGTGATAAGAGATAATTTACTACAAGAGATATGGCTAGTTTTGACTAGTGGTTTTTTAAAATGGAAAAATCGCCGGTGAAATAAGCTAACCTGTCCAGGAGAACTGTAACACTATCCAAGAGTGCTATTAAATGTTCCTCATCCAGAAACAAGGATACTTTTCCCAAGATCAGGTCTATTTCCCCAGTGGAAACCATCAAACTGGCCATATCATTCAAATCCATACTTTCACCATTTTACTGTACAACACAAACAAGAACAAATACCTGGAAACATTAGCAAATATAGGCTACCTGAAATACAGCCCCAAATGTTTCTTTGATGGAAACAACATGAAAAGTGCATCAAAGAAATTGAATTAGAAAGAAAAAAGATCTGGAGAGTTATGCAGTGTCAACTAGTCTGTTCAATAACAAGCTCCAGCCACCAGGTGTTTTCTACAATTTCTTTCTGTGTGTCGGTTATCAGACTACAACAAAGTCCAGACAAAATTGCGGATTAAATCAATCTATCTAGTAATTCTAGTAATTTATATACAAATAAATTTATATAAATAAAGAATACATTTTATTAACCTCTTCTGGAGAGTTACCAAATGTTGTTCATCAAGGAATAATGTACATACTGTATTAACCTTTCCAGGAGAGCTACCAAATATTGTTCATTGATTTTTTTTCCCCATACAAACAATTTAACATCTTAATTGTTCAACAATTCACACTTTTTATTCATTACATAAAAAAAATAAACGTTGTATACATCAATCAACAATAACAAAATGTTTGTTATCATAACAAGCTGGCTTCACTTGACTAGTGTAAGGAAATGCTGTAAAAAGAAATGTGAGAAAGACGAAGAGATATAATACCACATAATACTGAAACTGTATACATAATTACCAAATAATCTGCCATCAACATTCCCAACAGCTTAGATAAATGGTTCCAAAGATTTATGATAAATCATTACGTGTAAATTTTTACTGCTGATGTTACAGAGATTTTTTTTAAAGAATTATTGAGTGTGGGATTATTCAAGCAATATTCAACACAACACTTTGACTTTTATACACTTAAAATAATAATCATATTTTGATGATTTGCGAAAAAGGAGATACAATTCAATTTATCAAGCAGGCTACTGGTATATATCATATTTATACAGAATTGTTTTACATAAAAAAAACATTAAATTAAACTTTAAGATTAAAAAATGATAGTTGTCTCCCTTACATAACATGTATCTGTAACAAGGTATCATAAAATTACAGGTAAATACAATAGATACATATATAATAAAAATTACAAATGGAATAATGGAATGTGATACATAATCTACTACCTTCTCCAGGCATAATGGAAACAACTGACTTTGAATTAAAGCTATATATATCCATATGTATTGTTTAACAGTGTTAACGGTTATCTCTGAAAGACATTTAATGATCTGAAGATCTTCTTGTTATGAAATAGTGTAAAATACACTTATAAAATTTACACATTCAGTTTTTTCCCTTTCTACACTAAGAATTTTTATATATCTATATTGTATCTGCATTTCTAGCATGCTTGAACAATTCTCTCCTACCATTAAACCTCATTTGCATTACCTATTTTATTCTCAAGAAGAGTAACCTGTATTTCAATGTATACATATTGTTCTTTTTTTAACAGAACCACTCCTACAAGTGAGTCAAATGATTACCAAAATCCAAAGAAAGCTAATGATGGACAGTGAAGTTCAGCAACTGCCCAAAAAGTTTCTTACAAATCTTCTGTGCACCTTGAGGTCAAATTTAGGAAGAGTATGTGTTATACAAGAAATTCTTTGAAAATCTAAACAAAACATTTCCGTGCATTGATTTACACAAAGATTTTTGTGTCCTTCCAGAAGAGCTTGAAAAGAAATATTATACGGTAGCCTTAATTGGATGGTTGAGCTCTGAGAAGTTTTCTGTTCTATACTATCTAACAGCATACTGGACAATCTACAGAGAGAACCATTTATATAAGTAGGCCAATGGCATAATGGTTACGATATACCACTCCTATCCTTCACAAAGGTTATATTTACAAATCAGATGTGATGTGTATGGGGCAACCTTGCCCAACTAAGGTTTTCTCCGGGTACTTCAGTTTCCTTACACACATGGACCCTCTCAACACTCATTTGCTCATTCCCTTCTTAAAAATTGTATGCATTACTGAGCCAGACAAACTCACAATATCACATGCTACTGATGCTTTTTCAGCCCTTGTGATATTCACCTGTCCATACACAATTACTTTAATACCTTATCTAAAATATCAGTAATATCTATTCTATGTATTGTACCATTTTATACAATCTTTATCCTTGTTCTGTTAATATTAAAATTTTAAAAGTTGTTCAGTGTTCTTACACATGACTTGATATAAAACTTCTAGTTCTTGTACTCTCACAGCACCCTGGAGTAGCTACAGCTCAATCCATGTTTTGAAATCTGGTTTCAAATCAAGTAACTAGTAAAGACTTCTAAAGCCCTAAAAGATATAGCAAGAAGGATTCAGAGCATGTTTTCACATGTTAGCAGTTGATGACAGGAATGTAATTGTCAGAGTACATAAAAAAGTAGGAAATTAACTCGTTTTTATGGAGGAACATTTCAATATGTAATTGAAATAATTTTACAAATAAACAAGACAGTACCAACCCCGGTGTAATTGTAATAACATATATAGAAATGGTCAAGTTTATGTTTTCAAGATTGTTTTCAAAAATGTACAATGTACCTATATATCAAGCAAGACACAGAATATTTCCCTTCATATCTGATATTAAATGACTTGAATGTGTCCTTATACCAATAATATTGATCCTTCTTTAGTAATACAGCCATCTGGTCGTGACCTTAGTTTGTCAAATTTCATAGTTTCTAAACTTGGAAAGAGTAACAGAAGCCGCATCTCTTTCCCATGGGGCTGAGGAAGCTTCTCTTGTGACTGTAAAATAGAAAGTAAAATACTTACATGGAATGAAAATGAGTGTAGTTTTGAATAAACTTACAATATCATTGTCTTCCTTGGTATTACTGTGGATATCCCGTAGTTGTAGGGAGACAATGGTAACAATGCAATATTGGACTGATTTCCTACAATGACTTTGCAAGCAGCGACTGTTCAAAATACTGTTGTGATTTTTGAGGGATTCTATGTTACACTATTTTGGAGCATAGAAAATAAGGACAAAAAATTGCTATAGTACCTTGAAAATAAAACTAACAATGACCCATTTCATGACTTTTGTGGAAATTTTTTGATAATGCATTAAGCTTTTGCTAAAACTCTGAAAATTTGAATGATCCAAAATACTTTACAGTAATAAGGCACGATTGCTAAACCTTTAATGAAGTATGGGAAATCATCGAACTTGTGACGAGAGAACAGCAAAATAATTCTATATTTTCATGGGAATTAACTAGTTTCTTCGGTAGAAGTTATGGCAGAACCAATATCTATTCTAAATGTTTTGTAACAACAACACAGTATTTACAGAATGCCATGAACTGTGGCAATATATATAAAAATAAAACAAACAATTATTAAACCACGATCTCATATATCATTCGACTTCACAGTTCATAAGAATCATTCTGACATACATTTTTGAGAACATGGATTTGTAAAGCAACAATCATATGAAAGTATTTTATGCAACATCAATCTTGAGATACTCCATATTTCATATGTCCATGTTTTATGAATTCAGAAAATAAGTGGTCAAAGCCTACTTGATTACCTCCCCTGATTGTCAGTGACTGATGTTGTAATCTTTATCACTGCAATCTCTTTAGCATCTGATGTGTGTTTAGACATGAAACTGTGAAACCATCACGTATTATATGGTCTGTAACTATTTATTGATGTAGAAAAATTAAATTTTTTTTTAAAACATCAAATGTTATTTCCTAAGCAATCATATTTCTATATGGTTATCAACATGTACTTTTTTTGTTTTGATGAGGCTGCCAGGATTAAGAGCTCTGGGTTCTACCCCTTAACAGTAAGGAAAGCTTGCATATGTCAATCACTTCCATTCAATTGATACAGTTATGTTTATTGATCAAATTTTACATTCATAGGATAGGATACATGTCCCAAAGGAGAATAGGAATAAACTGCATCAGAATTTGACTCTAAAAACCATCAATGCTGGGTATGTCTATCAATAACGCTACTACGCTCTGATTTTTACCTAACTCTTGAACATGAAATTAAAAGTTCCAAGAATAATGGACCTTATCACCAATTTCCAACCACACAGTACTTTTGTATCAAATACTTAAAATACACCCTCCTATATTTTGTATATTTGTATGACAAATTAAAATCAGATTTATTACAGAAAGAAGAACTTTACAAGAATTTCCTACTCCATGATAAAACACATATATCTGTTAACTATACACAAACTTTATTAGCTTTGCTAGATCTGAAAAAAAAAATCCAATTTTGAAACTTGTCCTCGTATTGGACGTTTTTGGATGTATCTCTATCCAAATCTTATACTTTATTTGACCTCCTTTTTACGTGGCCAAAGTGATTTGACAGGATGTTTATAATCAAATTCTCCTCCATGATATTGCCAACACTTTCTCTATCCAGTACAGCAGTTCGGCCATGTATTTTCACAGAAACAAAAATGATGGCATATGAAGAGTTCCATCATTTGAAGATAACTTTTAACTATTTTCTTAACTTGATTACTGAAATTGCTGTACCATTAAAACGAATAGAATTCAAATTATGGACTTTTCACACACTAAAATGTTTATTTATTTATCAACATAATTAATAAGAAGAAAATCTAGACAGTGATAATTAGCTTTGATTTTACCTGCATTACCTAGCGGGTTTGATGTGGTCGTGGCTCTGACAGGCTGTTGGTTTCGTGGTTTTATCTTGTGATCAGGGTGATCCAACATGGGTTGGGGTTTAATAGATGCCCAGTGCATGGACTGCAATAAAAAGATGATATCAGGATGCAGGAAAAAGTATTATGTTTGATTTGAAGCATTTAAAATTATAAATTATAAGAGTTGAATGTTCAAACCTATACCAAAACTAATTGGTGCTGATTTACATACTGTTAAGGTTTAACTTGGGGGAGGGGGGATACTGGATACTGCAGACAAAATTAGGACAGAATTCAAAATCAAAATGGATTTCCCTTCATACTACGATATTCAAGATCTAACTGGGACAGAATCCTGACATTCCGACAGAATAAGAAGGATTGTAAAGAATTTGCTGTACTTCCCATTTTGGGCCCCGCCCCTATGACCCCAGGGGAGTCACACCCACTGTTTACATCAAATTTAGATCCTTCCCTCAATGATGTTTCTTATCCATTTGGGATAAAATCCCAGCTGTCTTGCAGAAAAGGGCCTTTAAAGAATTTGCTTGACTTATCCAATTGGGCCCCTTTCCTCTTGCCCAAGGGTATGACACCCATCACTTAAACAAAATATTTTCTTCATCCTACAATATTTCAGATCAAATTTGGACAATATCCAGACAATCCTACTGAAGAAGAAGGATTATAAAGAATTTACTTTATTTCCCATAAAGGACTCTACCACTCCTGTCTCAGGAGGCAGAGACCTATCGTTAACACAATGAGTCCTCTTCACCAAAGGATGTTTTAAGTCAAACTGGGACAGAATTTGTGCATTCCAACAGAGATGGATTGCTTTTAAAAAATTTCCTCTTCTCCCATCAATAAGAGGCCCAAGATCCATCAAGTCAAGATCAAGCCAGGCAAACTAAAAATGACATGTTCATGAATTTAAGCTGGAAATCGACACAAAGCCAATTTAAATGGAATTACAGTAGATACTGATAGAAGTGATCCTAACGTAAGCTGATTATTACCTGATGTCAGATTTTATACAGAACAGGTGATTGATTAGTTTTTATACAGAGCAAGTGACTGATGAAAGGTTTTATAGAATACAGGTGATTAATGACATCTATTATATGTCATCTAACTGATGACATGTTTTATACAGTACAGGTGATCGATGACATTTTTATACAGTGCAGTTGACTGATAACAGATCCTATACAGTACATACATGTGACTGATGACAGATACTATACAGTACATACATGTGACTGATGACAGATACTATACAGTACATACATGTATGACTGATGACAGAAACTATACAGTGCATACAAGTATGACTGATGACAGATACTATACAGTACATACATGTGTGACTGATGACAGATACTATACAGTACATACATGTGTGACTGATGACAGATACTATACAGTACAAACATGTGTGACTGATGACAAATACTATACAGTACATACATGTGTGACTGATGACAGATACTATACAGTACAAACATGTATGACTGATGACATTTACTATACAGTATAGGTGACTGATGACAGATACTATACAGTACATACATGTGTGACTGATGACAGATACTATACAGTATAGGTGACTGATGACAGATACTATACAGTATAGGTGACTGATGACAGATACTATACAGTATAGGTGACTGATGACAGTTTTTTTTTATACAGAACATGTGATTGATCAGAGTACACGTATCTATATAGAACAGGTGACTAATGAAATTCTGATGAAACTAGTCACACTGTTAAACATATATTTGGGCTAATGGAAGTTTCTATACAGTACATGACTATATTTTCTCTATAAGCCATCACTGAAGTCTCAGCATTTATTTGCAGCACATTTTCTGGCTTACTGAAACTGGACAAGGTGAGCCTATAATTCAAATCACAGTTATGTGGTTATAACTTCCTATTTTACAAGCCATTTTCCATTGTACAGCTGTTTAGTAACTCACTGTCTGTACAGAATCCCGTAAACCACACCACTTGTCATATGACATCGCAATTCCAGAATTTTTCCATTGATCATATCTCTTCCTTGTCTCCTGATCACATAATACTTCCTTTGCTCTTTGAAGTCTTGCAAATTTTTCGTCTTGAAAAAATTAAAAAAAGAAAAGAAAGATAAAATAAATCTTCAGAAGCAAAAATTTAATAAGTTTCTCACAGAATTAGGATTGAATGATTTAACAAATCAAACACGTAAAAACTGATGCTTCAACATGAAGTGTGCGCCAAAGAGTGCCATAGTTTCCTATCATAGGAAGTGTCATCTCGTAGAAGCGTTCAATAGCAATTAAACCCTATCACTTCTGACCTGAAAGTCTCAGCATAGATACCTGGTTACAGGTGTGTGTTTGTTCTGCAAATGAGTTTTCTTTCTTAAACTAAAACACTGGTTTAAGGTATAGTTAAATGAAGTCAAGGCAAAACTGTGAATTATCTTTTCTTTATACATGTATAGCATCATTAAAGTTAAGGTATTATTTAAAGTCTTTAATGGAACTGACCATAGTTTCAACATGCTTTTATTATTGTTGCTTTCGATACTATAAAAATTTTTTATTTCATTTTCTAAAGGAATAGGAACATTAAATTTCCTTTTGTCTTTTCCTTATCCTGCCATATATACCCCTGGCACGAATTTGTTGTTTGTTCCTGGTGTTTTAATAAACAATCGCTATAAATTTCAGCTAGAAAATGACTAACCTACATAATGCTTAGATCTATCAACTACTTGAACAACAACAAAAATTAGAGTGTAAATCTTAATATTCTATTTACCTGCAGCATGGTCACCAGGGTTTTTATCAGGATGATATTCCAAAGCAAGGATCTTGTACTCTGTATTTATCTGTTCTATCTGTGAAAAATAAATGAAATTTTAAACAGCAACTTGAAGGTCTGCTACTCAATGTGGACTTTCATGCTATGACTATCTGAAAATTTTTAGTATTTTCATACAATGAGGATAATGTTGACTTATTAGTCTCTTGCAAACATTCAAAATGTCTCTTCATGAACCACCTTTATGTGGATCTCAAAGAAAGAGATATTCAACTAAAAGTCAAATGAATGATCAGTAACTGCTTTCACTGAAATCAAATATTCAAAAACATATTAAAATAAGTCTTAGTCTTAACGTATATTTATTGATGCCTTGCTAACTTTCAAATCCAGTCTGGAAGCATGTTTTCCACCTTACATAATATATAAAGAATACGTGTTCAACAAACTGACATGACTACAACGTTAACATTTCTGTCGATGTCATGATTACACTAACTGTAATTCCAGTAGGCTTTTGTCATCGTTAGTCCCTAAATGTAAGCATGTGCACGTTACCAGCATATGCACTGTAGGGGAAATTCAGACATCACCTGACATTCATATCATTCCGGACACTTTAGAATAAAATTCAGTTAGGAAGCATTGTTTGATCGTTAACTAGATATAACCTGTGCTCAAATCTGACATATGAGGTCTGTTGACAGGTACCCGCGCTCGCCTACTTTCGGATTGAAGCTCGAATATTTGAGAACGATCTAACATAATTGCACGATTCTATAAGAGCACACAATTTATAACATCTTTTTCCAAATTGATTGTATTACCGTCACAATATCACGTACCGTTGAATGTTCGCTACAATTCAGAATTTTATAGAAATCATCCTCTTCTCTATGCTCATGTTCTAAGATCGCCTCCATGTCGGGATCTCATTTGCATATTGAAAAATGGAATTGATAGTGGCAGCTTTACATGTTACAAAGCTTATATAAACGGTTTTGTTCCTGCAATAAAACATATAAAATATATTGCAAACAATTCCGGGGTCGCAGTTTCCTTCTCTCTACGTAAATTATATTTCCTTCGTGAAAAATTCTAAAAACAATGATACCTCCCCTGAAATTAATCTTTTAGTGCGCATGCGGTAGATGGTCGAACAGGAGAAAATGGCGGAAGACGTGAAGATTTTGGAAGAGGTCCCATCAAAACGCCAAAAGATAGAACCAGATAGCACTTCTGGTGACTGTGATTTTTCCTGTACATCTAATGTTGATTCAACAGGTACAAGAAAAGGATCAGAATCTCAAACGCACCAGAACAACGCGAGTTCATCCGACATAGGTATATCCGTATTTTAAAATAATTTTGAGTTATGCCCCTTTAGTTGTGACAGGCCTACTGTGTGGGAAAAGTTGAACAGTATATATGTCGCTATCGTCATATAGATATTTTATATCCAGTGGAATATATTGTATGACAGCTGAACACATCCAATGGAATTGCCAATGAGCACAAAACTCAATTGTTGGAAAAGGTGTGATGACATGATATGCGCTTATAAATTAGGTCACGGTGACCTATTTTTCACGTTGAGAAAGTATGTGTTCTTAATCTCCATATGTTGGAAAATGTAATGTCATTCATACTCGCTGATTATAAAATACCAGTGGTATCATTCTATGAGTTCATTAGATGAATTAATTTCGGAAAGTAGGGTGATTATTACAATTATCCAGTTTCCAGCTCTAATGGTGTTAAAGCATTGGATATTATGATTGACAGTATGTCTAGGGTACTTGTATTGCCAGGTGGTACCCCAATATGTAGTCCAAATCATTCTGACATCAACTTTTTAGCCCACAATCAGATGGTCATCAGATTAAACAACCAAATATTCTTTGTCTTATTGTCAATGTTTGTGGAGAAGCACTAGATGTATCATTCTCAAATTTCATATGCAATGTTGGTTTGCCTCAGCCCTTACTTGTGGATAGTCCATTTTATAAATGATAGGGAAAACAAAATAATTAATCTCTTTGTACATATTTGCTTATTCCTGAAGATATGGAGAAGCAGAGACATGCAAGATATATGATTACATGTACCTCTAAGCTACAGTGATACTTTGTTAGTCCACTGTTTCTGACGAAGCAGGATTTCAATGCAAGATTTATTGAATATATCACAGCAACTACCATACTACAGGATTCATACCAAACATGCATGCACTTATGAAAAAAGTACAATATAGAAACATTTTTAGATTGTATCACCCTGACATTGAAAGCTCCATGAATAGAGTTTCTGAAATAAGTGATGCAAATGTACAGACAGACACAATGGAGGGCAATGCTGGCAGTATTCATATTTTTGCAAGCCTTCATGTAAAACTATCAAGATTTAATGTAATTTATAAAGGAACCTTGTGAAGCATTTTCCGTTTCCAATAACTGAGATATGAACATTTTGTTTATAGTGAATGGTAATTATGATGTGGCAAGGCAGGACGCGCTAACCGAGGAAACCAACAATCAAGGACAACTTGTGCACAATAATGTTGTAAGTATATGTGCCAATTACATTGTCTTTTTGTTACCAGATATTTCATTTTGTTTGGCATTTTGCATATAGTTAATCAGCTTACTTACCCAAAAAGGCCAAGTCAACTTACTGCATATTGCAGTGTCAGTTGTCTGTCCATCAACTTTTTCTACAAATCGTTCCTTGTCATGAACAACTGAGCAAATTTTGACTGAATTTGGTCAAATGTATCCTCAGAGGAAGGGGACAGAAGTTTGTATAAATGTGATGGTGGGTCATGGCTTCCTGGGGTGGGAGCAATGGGGCCCAAAATGGGACATACAGCAAATTCTTTCAAATTTAGTATAAATCAGTCAAGTTATGGCTATTTTTTATGGATCTTTATCAAATTTGATATGTAGGTTTCCCTTGGTACAAAAACAAAAAGGCTGACAGGTTGCCATCATAAATTTTGCCTAATAAAAATTGTTATTGATATTTCTTTATGGTTCTTGCTGAAATGTTATATGTAGGTTAAGCTCCCCTTGGTCCCTAATTGTGCCAGTTTGATATTTTGATGATTAAAAAAACAATGACTTACAGCCAACTATCTTGAATTTGGGAGGTAAAGATTATTAACAGAAGAATGGAAAGAACAAATTAAGATCAGTCTATGGTGGGCACCAAGATCTCTCTGGGATCTCTTGTGTATAAATGGTTTGCCTGACACCCCTTAGTGCAGAAGGATGGGGCCAAATAGGGAAATAGATATCAACCTGTAATTAGAATTTATTTTCCTTTAGTTTGGATGAAGCAAACAATGTCAGGTGAACAATACAAGTCATATGGGCCTCTTGTTTACTGAAAAGCTTGTCATTTTAAAATGTCATTAATATTGAGACAATATAGACAAGTAGCTATATGAATCTCTGTGCATGTGATCATGATCATTTGTTAGATTCAGATATGACCTTAACAGGTTGATGGCTGTCATCACAAATTACACAAAGTTTTGATGCCTTAAATGATTAGATTCTATAATACTTGGTGGAAATGTCTTTCTCAAGAGTGTGTTATGTGACTAGCAATTCTTTCATAAACAAACTGTCAGACAAATTTGATAAAACATTTCTTTTGTGTAGGAGGGAGATACTGATGGAGTGGGTGATCTAGACAACTTGAGTGATGTCAGTGACATGTCTGGACTGAGTGAAGATGCCTGGCAAACCACATCACCTGGTAGGTATCAGTGATAAATCTTACAGAGAACATGTCTTCTGGTAGATATTTCCAACATGTCAGAACTGATATGATATGCATTATCAGGTAAGTAACTGAATATAAATTTCCCGAGATCTTAGACAAAGTAAGAACATGTCTCTTGACAATGTCATGTTGGTATGCAAGCTTTCTTGTGATGTCAGTATACCAAGTTAATATTATTGCAATGGTTGTATTGCAGGTTTATATTGTTGTGATATCAGAATACCAGGTTTATATTGCTGTTAGTCAGTATACCTGGTTTATATTGTTGTTAGTCAGTATACCAGGTTTATATTGTTGTGTCATGTCAGTATACCAGGTTTAAATTGTTGTTAAGTCAGTATACCAGGTTTATATTGTTGTTAGTCAGTATACCAGGTTTAAATTGTTGTTAGTCAGTATACCAGGTTTATATTGTTGTGTCATGTCAGTATACCAAGTTTATATTGTTGTTAGTCAGTATACCAGGTTTATATTTTTGTTAGTCAGTATACCAGGTTTATATTGTTGTTAGTCAGTATACCAGGTTTATATTGTTGTTAGTCAGTATACCAGGTTTATATTTTTGTTAGTCAGTATACCAGGTTTATGTTGTTGTAAGTCAGTATACCAGTTGTTAGTCAGTATACCAGGTTTATATTGTTGTGTCATGTCAGTATACCAGGTTTAAATTGTTGTTAAGTCAGTATACAAGGTTTATATTGTTGTTAGTCAGTATACCAGGTTTATATTGTTGTGATATCAGTATACCAGGTTTATATTGTTGTGTCATGTCAGTATACCAGGTTTATATTGTTGTTAGTCAGTATACCAGGTTTATATTGTTGTTAGTCAGTATACCAGGTTTATATTGTTGTAAGTCAGTATACCAGGTTTATATTGTTGTAAGTCAGTATACCAGGTTTATATTGTTGTTAGTCAGTATACCAGGTTTATATTTTTTTTAGTCAGTATACCAGGTTTATATTGTTGTTAGTCAGTATACCAGGTTTATATTGTTGTGATATCAGTATTTATATTGTTGTGTCCAGTATACCAGGTTTATATTGTTGTGTCATGTCAGTATACCAGGTTTATATTGTTGTAAGTCAGTATACCAGGTTTATATTGTTGTTAGTCAGTATACCAGGTTTATATTGTTGTTAGTCAGTATACCAGGTTTATATTGTTGTAAGTCAGTATACCAGGTTTATATTGTTGTGTCATGTCAGTATACCAGGTTTATATTGTTGTAAGTCAGTATACCAGGTTTATATTGTTGTGTCATGTCAGTATACCAGGTTTATATTGTTGTTAGTCAGTATACCAGGTTTATATTGTTGTTAGTCAGTATACCAGGTTTATGTTGTTGTAAGTCAGTATACCAGGTTTATATTGTTGTGATATCAGCATACCAGGTTTATATTGTTGTGATATCAGCATACCAGGTTTATATTGTTGTGTCATGTCAGTATACCAGGTTTATATTGTTGTGTCATGTCAGTATACCAAGTTTATATTGTTGTTAGTCAGTATACCAGGTTTATATTTTTGTTAGTCAGTATACCAGGTTTATGTTGTTGTAAGTCAGTATACCAGGTTTAAATTGTTGTTAGTCAGTATACCAGGTTTATGTTGTTGTAAGTCAGTATACCAGGTTTATATTGTTGTTAGTCAGTATACCAGGTTTATATTGTTGTTAGTCTGAATACCAGGTTTATATTGTTGTGTCATGTCAGTATACCAGGTTTATATTGTTGTTAGTCAGTATACCAGGTTTATATTGTTGTGATATCAGCATACCAGGTTTATATTGTTGTGATATCAGCATACCAGGTTTATATTGTTGTGATATCAGCATACCAGGTTTATATTGTTGTGTCATGTCAGTATACCAGGTTTATATTGTTGTTAGTCAGTATACCAGGTTTATATTGTTGTTAGTCATATCCAGGTTTATGTTGTTGTAAGTCATATACCAGGTTTATATTGTTGTGATATCAGCATACCAGGTTTATATTGTTGTGATATCAGCATACCAGGTTTATATTGTTGTGTCATGTCAGTATACCAGGTTTATATTGTTGTTAGTCTGTATACCAGGTTTATATTGTTGTGATATCAGCATACCAGGTTTATATTGTTGTGTCATGTTGGTAGACCAAGGTTATATAAACAAGGTGTTTAGCAGTCTTTTGCTATATATTCCGGTGAGGCTTATATGTGGATAAAATTATAAAAAAAATCACTAAAACTGGCGGTGTGGCTTATAACCTGGAAAATACTAAAACATTAATCTTATTTTATGCTTCTTATCAAACCCTATGATTCCAGATCCTGTTTAGATGTACCACCCATAATTTGTAAGCAGGAAACAGAAACATGGAAAGACATGATTTGTTTTGGAGTTAGGGGTGTTGAAAGTAGATGTTTTGCTAGAATCACCCTATGTTAAGTCTGAAACTTTTACACTTGACTCACTGTGGGATTTGTTGTGAACTAGGTTCCATGATGTGGGTTCAAGATCAGATGATGACAGGAATCAATCCTCGTGTCATTCTCAATGACCTGATCATGTCAGACGTCCTTATTCCGGAAGATATGGATGATTTTACTCTTTGGAAAATAATCGTCAATATCATGTCTGAACCCCCAAGAAGAAAGAAGCTTCTTCATGTTAATACCATGGATGATGTCCTTCATCTTCTGAAGACTTGTAGTAAGATCATGGTATTGACAGGAGCAGGGGTAAGATGATTTCTGTCACAAAATTGTTGTGATTCTGTCAATATCTCTTATTAAGTACTCTATTTTAAATCATAAGCATTGCTGCTGTTTCTCTAATAACTTTAACTATGCAAGTTTTTTTTATACGGTTTTGTTTGTCAATTTACAATAAAATAACATGTCTGGATTAGATTAGACTAAAGTTTTCATACAGAAACTGAAACCAAAACTTGAATTCAAGCCCTATGGTTTAATAGTTTGTTGCTGGTCTTCTGATACTGTCTTTTATTTCAGGTTTTTTTTTTTTTTTCTCATTCTCATTAGCCAAGTCCTTCTCAAATCTAGTTAATATATATTTTAAATGATAATGTCAAATGTAATGAAAAAATTTAAGTACTTGCTTCCTTTCAGCAATTCTATTTGTAAATATTACCTAAATAGTGTGTTTCCAATGTTATTGTGTACCTTATTAATCAACACAGTCTGTTGTATAATATCATTCCTTCATCTCTAAAATATCAAACATGTAAAAAAAATATGTAAGAAATTGTAATATGAAGGATATTGTTACAAGTATTTTTTACCTTTCAGGTGTCAGTATCATGTGGTATCCCTGATTTTAGGTCTAGGAATGGTATATATGCCAGACTAGCTGTTGACTTTCCAGATCTTCCTGACCCTCAGGCAATGTTTGATATCAAATACTTCAGGGCTGACCCAAGACCTTTCTTCAAATTTGCAAAGGTAAGACTAACTGACTTGTCAAGATGTAGTTGAAATATTTATGTAAGATCTGTTAAGGATGTGAATTTTAATGCATGAGTGGGTGTCAGGTTTAATTTTTCAGGGGAAGAGCTCTTTATAATCACTTTGACTTTGATAATAGGGTTGAATTAAATCACAATTAATTCACCGGTACATATAAATTACCTAAAGATTGATATAAGTCCTGAAAACTTTAGGGCTGTGTTGACTTCATCATTTCATATACTGTTCAGTTTAAAGTGGGAAAAACTTTGTTTCTCAGAAATTTGAGTGGCTTTAATTCATTTATAAACCAACACACATATTGAAATATTGACTCTGAGTTTTGATATTTTGACTACAATGATTATGTTTTGGTTCTCTGAGGATTCCAGGAGTGACAGTCACAGATTCTTGAGATTTTTATCCTACTTAATGCCCTGCATTTCCATCAGAAGGTGGCTGCTTTTGGTACTCTCTTCAAAGTCACTGTTAATAAAAGTTCAGCCTTACCCAAATTTTGTTATAGCAGCCCTGATTCTTGACTTTTTTTTACCAAGTTTTCAGAAACAGAAAGGAAAATGATGATGCTTTTCACGATGTTAAACACCTTTTTTGTAAATTTCCAAATACTTATTTACCACTTCCTTTATTTCAATCACTCATGCACAAGGTGCCCTTGGCATAAATAACATAAAAACCTTGCTATTAATTTATAGGAAATCTATCCAGGCCAGTTTGAACCGTCCAAATCTCACAAATTCATCAAAATGTTAGAAGGTCGGGGGAAGCTTCTGCGCAACTATACACAGAACATTGATACTCTGGAGCAAGTGGCAGGCATAAGCAGTGTTATTCAGTGCCATGGTAAGTGGTACATTAAGTATATGATTTATGGGTTCAGATAAAACTCATGGAGATATGGAATAAAGATGTGATTTGTAGTTGTAATGTTTGCACCAATTCAACTTATGATTAAGTTTGGTCATCTATTTTGGTCAACCAGTACCAAAAAGGTAATTATTACACCTGAAGATAAAATTGCATACTTTCACTTCTTGCCAGTTGGGGCATTCGTTTCAAATCTACATTATTCATCTTTTTATCTACACATGTAGATTTGTTTGTTTTGTTTTGTATGCAAAATGCTGATTCATCAATTTTTCTGCTTCATTTCTACACACAGTCATTCAGTTTGCTAAAATGTTTTTCTTTCATACCAGCATGAAACTGAAAAATATTCCTATCAATGCCCAAATATATGTATGATAGACCGTATATTGGGTATCAGGATAGTTTTTATTATGATGTGCATTTTTTGTGAAAATCTTCAAAATGTAACATGTGCAATAGTTGCATGTTTTATTTTTTGCAGTTTTCCTGTTTCAGAATGAAAAGTAAAACATACAGAATATTGATATAAAGGGAACTTTATTTCTCAAATGATCACTTGTTTAGAGGCCTGGACGAACAATTATTAAACCCTGTGATCAGCTCATGAGAGGAGATGTGTTTAGCTAGCTTACATATTTTGAAATTCAGGTTTTAACAAAGCCATTTATTACCACATCAGGATTGCTTTTGATGTGGTCATACATCTGTACAATCTATTTGGCACCGACTGGTTTAAGTGTTGTTAGTAACAAGGGTAATTTAATATTTTCGACATTGTCATCTTTTGCTAGCTGCTCAGTGACATGCCATGCATACCACTGTTGGAATGAGCTTTTCATTGTACATATCTTCTTTTTCTTATGAAAAGTATACCCAGGGTATGTGATTAAAAAAGTGTTTATGTACTATACTCGTATGCGAAGAGGGTATTATATAAAGCAGTCATGCCAGTATATCAAAATTAAGCACAATCACAGGAGAAGTCTTATGTACAGCTTAAAAATATACAAGTTCTACGATTTCAATTTTCATGATTTTGATGGGGTTGCTAAATTTGCAAAAAATAGATGTGTGCAAAAAAATCTTGATATATAGTATTTGTTGGCGTTTACTGAAAATATGTTTCAAATGCTTGTTTGAAAAAATACTAGATGTTGAATATATGGATGTACTTGTTTTCTTGGTTTCCCCAGGATCATTTGCCAATGCTACTTGTATGGTTTGCAAACACAAGATGAATGCAGATGATATTAAGGAAGATATTTTCAAACAAGTATGTATAATGATATGTTTAAAGAAATGTCATGTTTAAAAACATTAAAGAAACATCACAGAGAAATAGTTATTCTTTTTACTGATTGTGTTTTATACACCTCCAGTTACATTTATATGATATTCACAGGCTATTTTCATTGCCGAGTTTGACCACACAATTTATTTAGGTAAGTCCTTTCAAATTTAGAGCGGATACCATCATGTGACTATTTTGAAAACCAGGCGGTTCATTTGTATACATGAACACATATGATGGCAGAAAAAAATAGTGACACCGTACGTACACTTGTTTTTCAACTCTCGAATGTTAATGTTTGCTAACTCAAAGTTGATTCAGAATTACAAACAAATTGACATTAACTGCCATTGTTTCTGTAAAAATCTCAGCCATGCAGGTATTGTAAACGGCATGCAAAGCTTTGACCTAGTTCCACTTGGTCACTCTGTCCAGCAGAATACACTAACAGTCCTCGTTGCATTCTTGTCTGATAAGCTCCCATCTGCCATGGTAAGCTTTCTTTGCGAAATTTTGGATTTTCTTCTGCCCATTTGGCCATACTTTGCTTTAACTTTTGTAAACAAAATTATAGACCACAACCGATTCACGGGGAAGCCATTCTTGTTTACTGATGTGGTGTATTGTGTGCATGTGTTTTAAACATGTAAGACACACAAATGTATGCATAGAAACTGTGGCAAGAGATTTTTTTTTTTATGATTTTTAATGTCTTTATGTACATAGATCAATGAAAACCTATCATCATTCACAAAGTGATACACTTGAGATATATATATGTAATTATAATAAAACCAGAAAAAATTGGTTTGACCGTGATGTCACTCTAAATGTTATATGCCTTTCCTCCTGAAATCCTTAATTTGTACATTTTTCTGATATCTTCTTATCAAATCACTACATATTTACTTGTTATTTACATGTTTTGATGGTGCTGAAAGATAATCATTTTAGGAAACCTCTCCATTTTATACATTTAGAATAAAGGCAGCTTAGTACAGTGTTACTCTTGTAATCAGAGTTACTCCCCTTAATCGATCGAGCTGTTATACATGATTGGCAAGCTTAGTTGATCTATATAATATAAAGAAATGACTTCCAACACAATTTGGATTGATATTAGATTGTGGTAAGGAACTGAGTATTTTTATTTCATTCTAGTAATGTTATACCTTTTCAGAAAGTTGTTTAGAGCATAAACACACCCAGTCTGGTCTGTGTTGACAGGTAATCCCCCACTGTCCCAAGTGTCCCCTAGAAGACCCTGCAGCAGTGATGAAGCCAGATATAGTATTCTTTGGAGAAAGTCTTCCTGAGGAATTTCATCAACAGATGGCTGCTGATAAAGATAAATGTGATCTACTCATTGTCATTGGGTCATCACTGAAAGTTCGCCCAGTTGCTCTTATTCCAAGTAAGATGTTTGATTTAATGGTGTTTCTTTTACAAAGATAAAACAAGGTTTGTGTAAAGATATAGGAGTTTTGTCTGGTAAAATAATGATAATGCAGATAGCTCCTACTTGCCATCCATGCCTACATTATATATCTTGGAATGGTTTTATGCTTTATGTTACTTCAAATGAAATTTTGTTCTTTTGAACAGATTCTTTACCTCCTGATGTTCCACAAATTCTCATTAACCTGGAACCTCTTAAGAACATGACCTTTGATGTTGAACTGCTTGGCAATTGTGACACTATAGTCAGTGAGTTGTGTAAGAGACTGCAATGGGAGGGAATTTCTAGTCTGTCTGAACCACCCATGGAAGAGGTGACCAAATGCCAGCTGAAGACTCCTCCTCCATATCCTATGGCAGATGATGTGTTTCCTGTTGAGAAAATTACTGATAAGACTATTAACAAAATAGAGAATCAGGATGGAAAACTCGAAGAAGTTGTGAGTGATAGCAAACAACTGGCAGGAAATTCAAGTCTTGATTCAATTAAAGGTCAGACTTCAGATAACTCTGTTGTAGGTCAAAGTTCAATGTGTAATACAAACCAAGTGGAGGCTGGTCAACCACAGGACACTGAAGTGGGTCAAAGTTCAGATCTCCATGTTTGTTCTTCAGAGGATAAAGTTATCGGTCAAAATCATTGTGCACAATCTTTACAAGAAAATGTGAGTACTTCTATACCTGTCATGGACCAAAAAATTATTAGGTCTGCTGATACATGTAAACATCCTCAGCAGAGTGTGACAGAAAGAGCTGTAGAACCAGACATATCTAATCTGCAGCAAAGTGACAAACATTCTACTACTCCCATTGCTGAATCAACTACTGCAACTAAAACATTGACACCCAAAGAATGTGAGATTACTCCTTTGGACAATAACACAAGTCCTTTGGACAGTAACACAAGTCCTTTGGACAGTAACACAAGTCCTTTGGACAATAATACAAAGGTTGTATTGGGCAATGCTGAAGAAGACCTGAATTCTGACTTGGAGACAAACAAGAATTTCCAGCAGGGATCAAGCTGCTCCCAAGAGAATTCAGACCTAGAAATGATGAGGAGCATGTGGCAGCCAAAGCGTCATGACAGTCTCTCCAAACGGTTAGAGGGTACGTTATTATATAGCTTCTATTTACTATATTGAAGTTAAAGTATTTAAGTAAAATAATGAAATTTTAATATATTGGGGAAAAAAATGATGGGTCAGGTTCACATTTGTTATTTCCTTTTTTAAGCACATCTCATCTAAAACTTTAAACTAATGAAGTTTGCTGATCTTTTTATGTATTAGTCTAACTTATGCAAACATCTGAAATTTTTACTTATTAACCTTTGCGGAAATTTATTTTTGTTCTGGTATTCTTACTACTAATGCTAATGACATTATCATGATATTACATCTGTATAACATTAGATAATTTACTAAAGCAACCCTGAATAGCCAAGCTATGGTCCTTGTGAGATGAAAAATTATGCTATCGAGTTCCATCTGTGATACTTCTGTGTATGCACTTCGCCATGGCCAGGAGTGTACCACAAAATAGTAGGACAATATTGACTTAAAGACCATGACAAGTCAACTTCCATGTTACATCAGTCAGTTTACACAGAGATATGTGCAGTCAAATTTTCGTAAATGCAAAATTGATTTAACTTTAACAAATCCAAACAAACTTTATTTTTCTTTATTTTTTCACTGTTTAGATTATTACATGGTCATATAGAGGACACTTCTGAATGATACCAGTTGGTGAAGTAAATCTAATGTCTGGGGGAGAAAGGAGATTAAGGAAGTACACAACAATTTATAAAAAAGAATAATGAATGTCTTTCTTTTTCAGAAAACCAATTCTTGTACCTGGCACCATGTCGGTATGTGTTTTCGGGAGCGGAGGTTTATGACAGTAGTGATGATGAAACAGATGAAAGAAAATCTTCAACATCATCAAGTTGTTGTTCTATTGACTCTAGGTTGGGTGATAGAGTAGACAACCAAGAGTGTGATATGGAAATGTCACCTTGTGTCCAACCCTCGGAGTGTTCACAGCCAAATGACCAGGTGTCCACTACTCAGTCCAACAGTAAAGAAAGCACACTTGTTCCTCAGTCAAATGACCAGGTGTCAACTACACACTCCAACAGTACAGAAAGCACACCTGTTCCTCAGTCAAATGACCAGGTGTCAACAACTCAGTCAATCAGTAGAGAAAGCACACCTGTGGTGTCTTCTGAAGCTATAGACTAGCTTAGATGTAAACAAAGCACACTTGCGTACTAATGTGATTGGCATAGTGAGAATTAGAGAAGGCACAGCTGCTGTGTCTACTGATGTCAAAGTCAGAAACATGTTATGCAGGTTGTGTCTACTAAAGCTTTTGGCCAGTTTAGATATAGAGAAATGCAACTGCTGTGTCTGCATACACAGGAATCATTAACATGATGAAAAAATACATACATAGAGAAAGAGGTCTGTATTGACACTATCTTGTTTACATTATCAGCTACTTAGTCCTGATTAAGAGAATGGATAGCTGTCTTGTCGGTATACATTGTCAGCTACTCCATTGTGATTAAGAGAATGGACAACTGTCTTGTCTGTTTACACTAACAGCTACTCTAATCTGTCCTGATGAAGAGAATGGGCAACTGTCTCGTCTGTTCACATTATCAGCTACTTGGTTGTAAAGAAAGAGAATGTTGTGTCTTCTTAAACTATAAGCTTCATAGTCCTGAAGTCCATTGTATCCATGATTTTGGTTTTTATACTCTCATATTTTTTATTTCAATTCCAAAGTTTTCTTTTCAGATACTATTTTCAACAACCCCAACTTATTAGAACAAGACTTAGCATTGGATGTCTAAAACACCATCCAAATGGTTCGTAACTTGAATTTGACAAAATTATTGCATATAAGATAATTTTTTTTTTCCAAATCAGACAGTAATTGTCAATATAGATTGCTTATAAATGGTCAAATTTCAACAAACGTTTATTATGGCCTCACCCATGAATAGGCTGAGGCCTTCACCCCATCCGTCCACCACACTGTGGTTAGACTTTATATTTAGGTCATTTTCTTAATAATTGTTTTAGGATGGTTATAAATTTTTTGAATGTGTGTTTTTTCGGAGACAATTTTAATGTAGAGTTCAATTGTCGGTAAGAATATTAATTATATCAAATCTTTGAATTTGATTTGAAGTTCTTCTAGTTTTTTTATTTCTCTTAAATTTTTATTTCTTGAAATACCAATAAAAGCTCCCCAAATGTTATTCTATGCTAGAGAACCAGAAAAACAATCTATTCCATATAGACTATTAACATAACCATTGTCAAAAGATGTTAGAAGTCATGTACTGACTAATTAGTGTGGAGTCTAATGTGCCTAGCATTTGTAAACAGCACTTGATAACTAGTGGTACTAGTCAGAGACCTACTCTTAACAGAGGAGGTATCAGACAATTGTAAGATATGAGTAGTAATTTAGCTTGTGTAGAATTTTGTTAGATCAGCTCCCCACTTAAGCTTTTCTCTCTGTCACATAATGAGGTTTGATAAACCACTCTAGACTCAATTGTGTGATACTTTCCACTCTAGGAATAACCTCACTGATAATTTTTGAAAACAATTGGTAGCTTGCTACCTTCCACTATTGCTGGACTTACTAAAGTAAAAAATGTCCCTGTTGTAAATTTTCCTAAATTCTCGTTCATTTGTTTTTAAAGCTTATTTTCATATTTCCTAAAGTTTCTAGTATAAATTTATGTTGACCAGTAACAAACTACTTTGTTGGTACTTTAAGCTCATTAAAGAATCATTCATAATCTGTATTTTTACATTTGATTGTAATTGTTGTGTCAGCTCTTTCTTTGTTCTATGATGTTTGTCTCTCATCAACACACCAGTGATAAATTATGTCCATTATTGCATCCAGTAAAAACTACTTTGATATCAAGTTGTCAGATCTGGACCTACCAATGTTGTTGTTATTACATTATTAGAGTGTCACTAAGCCTCATAAATGTTGACCTGAACTTAACTACGGTAACGTTCACATTACCAAACTTTTTTAATTACTGTGCCTGACCAGAAACATTTCACCATTTTCTGAAATAATCTTACTTAATTTTGTACTTAGTCTCTTTTGATTATGTAAAGTTGGAAAGTAAGGTATTTTACTGACTTGAGTGTATAAATTTGTTTACAAAACAGTGTGCATGGTATTTAAATGTATATAGAGGATTGTAAATACATTGTTGTGTATATAAGATTGTTACTATATATAGGTATAATATGTATAACCTGTTGTTACATTGCAGGGACTTGTGTACTGGTATATATATATATATATAAGATATATCTCTACTCTTAAATGTTTGTACCCCATCTCTAGAGAACTTAGTAAGGAAAATTGTAATTATCAATTTCTTTATATAACAGATGTATGTATTTGTCTTTAAAAACATTTCCCTTCATGTTAACAGATAGCTTTTGTGTGAATGTCATGCATAATGATAGGTATTAAGTTTCAATGCATGGTTAAGGAATTATGAAACATCTGCCAAATGAAGATGAGCTGTTTGTTACATATTTAATGAGATGCACAGTAAAATACGATTTAGCATGTAGTATGCTGTCCCTGGTTTTATCTGTGTGTTAGCGATCATATACAAAAGAAGGGTTTGTTACTAAGAATATCATGAAACTGTTGTGTTTGGGGTTTGTTTCTCCTACAAATATTGATGGCAATTAATTTTGTTTTTAACTATATTCTGTTTGTTGTTTCTATTTGTTATTTATTGTATAAATGTACATTTTTGTAAGAATGAATTATATATATTTATATATGTATATTTCTTACAAAAGTCAAAATCAGAAGGTGCCGAAAATTCATTGTGAGTATTCCATTAAAAAGTCAGTATCACAAATTTTGTACAAATCATTAGAAAATGTTAATCTGTACATATATCACTGTAGTCAGTAGGTAGCCTGATATGTGTGTGTATGATATCACTGTAGTCAGTAGGTAGCCTGATATGTGTGTGTATGATATCACTGTAGTCAGTAGGTAGCCTGATATGTGTGTGTATGATATCACTGTAGTCAGTAGGTAGCCTGATACGTGTGTGTGTGATATCACTGTAGACAGTATGTAAGCCTGATATGTGTGTGTATGATATCACTGTAGTCAGTAGGTAGCCTGATATGTGTGTGTATGATATCACTGTAGTCAGTAGGTAGCCTGATATGTGTGTGTATGATATCACTGTAGACAGTAGGTAGCCTGATATGTGTGTGTATGATATCACTGTAGTCAGTAGGTAGCCTGATATGTGTGTGTATGATATCACTGTAGTCAGTAGGTAGCCTGATATGTGTGTGTATGATATCACTTTAGTCAGTAGGTAGCCTGATATGTGTGTGTATGATATCACTGTAGTCAGTAGGTAGCCTGATATGTGTGTGTATGATATCACTGTAGTCAGTAGGTAGCCTGATACGTGTGTGTGTGATATCACTGTAGACAGTATGTAAGCCTGATATGTGTGTGTATGATATCACTGTAGTCAGTAGGTAAGCCTGATATGTGTGTGTATGATATCACTGTAGACAGTAGGTAGCCTGATATGTGTGTGTATGATATCACTGTAGTCAGTAGGTAGCCTGATATGTGTGTGTATGATATCACTATAGTCAGTAGGTAGCCTGATATGTGTGTGTATGATATCACTATAGACAGTAGGTAGCCTGATATGTGTGTGTATGATATCACTTTAGTCAGTAGGTAGCCTGATATGTGTGTGTATGATATCACTGTAGTCAGTAGGTAGCCTGATATGTGTGTGTATGATATCACTATAGTCAGTAGGTAGCCTGATATGTGTGTGTATGATATCACTGTAGTCAGTAGGTAGACTGATATGTGTGTATGATATCACTGTAGACAGAATGTAGCCTGATATGTGTGTGTATGATATCACTGTAGTCAGTAGGTAGACTGATATGTGTGTATGATATCACTGTAGACAGTAGGTAGCCTGATATGTGTGTGTATGATATCACTGTAGACAGAATGTAGCCTGATATGTGTGTGTATGATATCACTGTAGACAGTAGGTAGCCTGATATGTGTGTGTATGATATCACTGTAGTCAGTAGGTAGACTGATATGTGTGTATGATATCACTGTAGTCAGTAGGTAGCCTGATATGTGTGTGTGTGATATCACTGTAGTCAGTAGGTAGCCTGATACGTGTGTGTGTGTGTGATATCACTGTAGACAGTATGTAAGCCTGATATGTGTGTGTATGATATCACTGTAGTCAGTAGGTAGCCTGATATGTGTGTGTATGATATCACTGTAGACAGTATGTAAGCCTGATATGTGTGTGTATGATATCACTGTAGTCAGTAGGTAGCCTGATATGTGTGTGTATGATATCACTGTAGTCAGTAGGTAACCTGATATGTGTGTGTATGATATCACTGTAGACAGTAGGTAGCCTGATATGTGTGTGTATGATATCACTGTAGTCAGTAGGTAGCCTGATATGTGTGTGTATGATATCACTGTAGACAGTATGTAAGCCTGATATGCCTGCCTTGTTTTGTATGGATTTTAAACAAAAATTATGAATTTATTTGGAGTCCTTTTATAGCCTTCATACCTTGTATTTGTATGATACGTGTATCATGTATATTGTAGGAAAGTCCAGTTGGACCTGAAACATTTAATACATTATCATTTTATTTTGTTAATATTATATTGTCTTATTTACAAACGGCGTGTATAAGGCTTCAGTAATTTTTCATGATCTTCTTTCTATGGCAAGGTCATTTAAATCTTTCATGGTTTAAGTATGAGAATCCTGTCTTCAATTCAGTACCTGATTTCTGTGAATCTCTCCACCCCCAAAATCTGTCTTAAGATTAACTTTTGTCCAGCACCTGAAGCAAGACTTTGTCAGTATTATAATATATTGTATATACTAGGAAAGGGGTATGTAATAGACATCTCTCTGAATAAAGGGCATGCCATAAATTAACTTCAGGCTGAAAAGATTCTCTGATTTGCTCCAATTTACATATTATCGAGCATTTCATTTTAGTTTTAAAAGAAGATTAACTTAAATGATATATTTACACATAATTACAAGATGTGATCAGTTTCATTTTCAGTAAGTTTGAAAATTTAAATTTCATATTTTTTAAATTGAATGTTATTGCCAGCTGGGAGAGTGATAGCAAAATTGTCTCTGAGCTAAAACACAATTAATGTGTACTGGACAAATCAGAATGTAATAGACAGCAGGGGCCTGTAAAACTGATGCAATACATTTGTACAACTGTCCTGGACAGGGCTGTATTAGATCAATTTTAAATGACCATAGATAGCATAAAACATTTAGGCAAGATCTTTTGAAGATTTCAACAATACATTGTACATATACTTACCCAGTGTAAAAACTCATTTCATTTACATATAGCACTGAGCTGTATCTGTTAAACTTAATCTTTTAGATAGGTCAATGAAGGTGAAGAACCCAAAGATGAAGTATTTTATTAAGGTTTGTGTTGGTAACTGTTACACTTTATAAAATGACCTCACACATTGTATGTACCCTTTGTACATAAAAACCAATGGTAGAATAAAGCTGTTGAATATGACATATTCAGTTTGTTTGATACTCTATAAATATCCTTTGTTTCCATGTTGCTATAGTAGTCCGTCCTCTGCGGTTTGTTCTGAAACAATACTGGTTATCACTATGTCATAAGAAACACTGGATTGATCTTCACAAAGTTCATGTGTAACTTCTTCTTGCTTAGTGCCTCTAGATCTTGGGACTGATGAGAAAAACCAAAATGGCCGAGTGAAATTAATCGGTTACATTGTTGGGAGGCTAGGTATTCATACATTTAGAATGTGGGATTTATTGTGGTGTAGCAGATCTGAACCGATTCGACTGCCTGTGATAAGATGTTTCAGATTGATAGGTCATAAAGTAGAGGGTCTTGGGTTCAAAACCCAGTCTGGCGTTGCGTTTTTTAGCTCCTGTTACAGCAGCAAGGGATTGTCCATCTTGTCCACACGGTGTGCCCTTTGATGTTGTTATGCCTGGTGCGTTGTAGAATTTCTGTATGTTTACATCACGGCGTTCACTTTCGAAATATTAATCGCCATGTTTTCTTTCATGTAGTCGATTACCGGTGTACGCCTTACCTGGTCTCGACCGGATCCCAAATCAGAGTATCGGATTACATTAAAAAAACAAAGAAAATACTAACATGTCAACATAATCATAATCCAAACGCAACTTCAATAAAACTAGTTCAAAATATGAACAAAAGAAATATTTACACGGAGAATAACACAAGGTGTTCCGTGAGAGTAAGCATCTTCTGCTTCATCGACGACATCCACCATGTAAACTTGGTCAATCCAAGCAAGTAGTGTCACGTTCTCAAATGAGAACAACGTATACAAAAAAAGAATATTTCTCAACGAGATAACTATCACGACCGTAAAACTTGCGCATAATATTCATAAACCTGTATCTTTTGACACCATGTGTTACGAGTTTGTCCGTCAGTTGACGACTTCTTGTACAAAAATCATGATAATGGGAACAGACCCTTGAATATCGAATTGAATGTGACATGTAAACACCATATGTTAGGGATGCAGGGATGTTGCTATCCAGAAATGGAAAATTCACAATAGGGAAATTGAAATCGTCACGTTTATCATACAGCTTGATGGAGAGCTGTCCATATTAGTTTCATTGAAGTTAAAACAGAAAATAAAGATTAATCTAATGTATTAAGAGCGAAGCTCTATACCGTTAACGTGTGTTCGCGTCCATGACGACAGATCCCAGGAGACATCAGAGACAAAGTCTTCAGAAAGGAAAAGGTATGACGCATCCGGAAGTGATACCAAGTTCTCCAGTTTTGTAAGAAACCCTAATTTATGATGGAAGGTTACTGATCAATTAAATGATGCAAAACAGTTCTCAAAATAACAACAATAAAGGATGGCCGGCATTAAAATAAGGGTTATAGGGACGAAATTGGAAAAATAAACTTACTAGGCTTGATGCATAATCCAGGGTAAAATGACATTTTTATCAACAAAATCGGTTTCTTATTTCCTTAATCATCATACAATAATGAAGTAATAGATACACGCGTAAATTTATAGATATACTCATAAGTTTGGATATATGTACATTATTTCACATCTTTTAACGATGTTTCATGTAACCATTGTCTTTTTGCCTAATTAAATATCATTGCTTTTTTAACAGTGGTGGAATGGAGTTTTAAAACAACTGCTACTGTAATATTAATGTGTGTGTGTGTGGGGGGGGGACTTTCTTTTAAACAGCTATGCGCGGGGAATGATGTCTTGTTTAGATTTCGAATTCTAATTTACAGTCACCATACCAATATAATTACCAAGGACACACTTTCTAGCTGTGCATGTTCCATGCATCTTAAACCAAGATTCCGTTCCTGATTAGAGAAAGAAAGAACCTGCATAAATAAGAATGATTAAGGTGTATATCCAAGAGTAAAGGACAATGCCTTCCGAATGGTACGTAAAGGCAGTACGAACGTACGATAACATCTCCTTAAGAACATTTTAGCATTGAGAACTAAAAAATATCAACGGCATTTGACAACAACACTTGGATGACTCAACGCATTGCAACAATGAAATGTGTCGGCGTGCTCTGGAGAAGCTGTCTGCTGCCGCGTTGCTAAGCGTTTAACATTGATGAGCTCGTTATCTTAGTCACTTGGAAATTACTTTGGGAAATGCCAAAGAAGGAAATGTTACTGAAGCGCATATGATGTATTGTGATTTAAGGAACAGCCCGGCCTTCAGGCTGGGTTTTGATGAACTAAATTAGGAACTTGGTGTTAGGAAATAGAACTTCCCTCAAGTACATGCACTTCATCATAAAAAGACGGGCGTGTAGATGATGTATTACCGAATTTTCTACAAGTCTTCAGGTACCTACCTATAACATTTTGAACGATGCATACATCATCCCTTTCAAAAGGACAGCTAGAAGCTTATTTCTGAAACCATGCCTCAAATTCAAATGTTATTACACAATCAGTTTAACGTTTCTGCGTATATTTCCGTCAGTTTCTTGTGTAGTACTGAAAATTTAATTTCAAATGAAATTATTTTGTTTTTTTAATGGATTAATGTAGTTTTATAGAGCTTATTGCATAAATACCGAACGTCCTCTTTAAAAACTTAAATACCTGCATGTAGGCTTTTATAAATACATTTATCTACGGTACTGCTGATGTATATCATTGTTACGTCATCATTGCCTGTCCTTCTTTCACGTCTAAGTTGTCTGTTTATTTTAACTATAAAGTTAAAAAAGAGCAGTAAACAAAAACAAAAAAAATGAACAAAAAACAAAATTATATACATATGAAAAACCAAACAAAAGAAGCAAAAATATGTTTATGTGTACTTGAAGGAGAAGGTATTTGTTTACTCAGTCAAGTTTGCGATTGATGAGCTAAGGATAAACACGAAATAAATAAATGATCAGATTACGTGTAACTTAAAAATTCTAAAGAAGTGAAATGATGGAATTATTACACCCTCTTCATAGGAATCGATGTCGTTTTATTCTCAATCCGATCTGATTGTAAGAAATTCAACAAAACAAATAGCCTCCTGTACGCCTCCGTCACAGACAAATGTTTCGACTTTTTAATAATGAAAGACCGAATAGATTATAATATGTGACCTTACAGGGTTGATTAGACCAAAATTATGACAGTCGATATCGGGAAGCTATCAACAGTATCTGTATCAGAGCAGCAAATAGTATATTTATGTATGTAGGTATACAATACTTTCTATTGTGTCATGTGAAAAATGTTGATAAGCACAATAGGAAGTTGACGTGCATAAGTCTTCAGCTTCATACTGAAAGAGGGATGGGTGTGGCCTCAACGGTGGTAAACTGAAGAAATGAAATGTCTAGGTAAGTGGCTTTTAGTGGGTAAACTGTAGAAGTGAATCAAAAAGTGACGAGGCTTTTAGCATAAAAACCGGCGACGTGAAGACGATGTAGGACGTATAATGAACAAATGAAGAGGATTTAGGACGTATAATGAAGAAATGAAGAGGATGTAGGACGTACTATGAAGAAATGAAGAGGATTTAGGACGTATAATGAAGAAATGAAGAGGATGTAGGACGTATAATGAAGAAATGAAGAGGATTTAGGACGAATAATGAAGAAATGAAGAGGATGTAGGACGTGCTATGAAGAAATGAAGAGTATGTAGGACGTATAATGAAGAAATGAAGAGGATTTAGGACGTATATTGAAGAAATGAAGAGGATGTAGGACGTACTATGAAGAAATGAAGAGGATGTAGGACGTACTATGAAGAAATGAAGAGGAGTTTAGCGGGTAAAATGAATAATTGAAGGGGAAAGTGGATTTTAGGACGTAAACTGAACAAATGCAGATTTTGGCTGTTTAAATGAAGAAGTGAAGAGGATTATATTATGTAAAATGAAGAAGTGAAGAGGAATTTAGCGGGTTAATTGAAGAAATGAAAATGTTTTTAGAACGTAAAATGAAGAAATGACGAGGATTTTAGCGTGTAAACTATAGTGAAGAGGATTTTAACGTGTAAACTGAAGTGAAGAGGATTTTAGCGCGTAAACTGAAGTGAAGAGGATTTTAGCAGGTAAACTGGCATGGAAATTTGAGAAATAATGAGGGTAATAATGAATTGCAATAAATGCCTTTTTTGTAATCAACTGTCTGCTTGATTTAGATATCCCGTGAGTTGTAGATGAACAAAATAGACCACTTTATGAAGGGGAAGACTTGGCATCTTTATCAACATGTAGTTACTACCGTTACTACTGTTACTGCTGTTACTACTACTGTTATTACTGTTACTACTACTGTTACTACTGTTACTACTGTTACTACTACTGTTACTACTGTTACTACAGTTACAACAGTTACTACTGTTACTAATGTTACTACTACTGTTACTACTGTTACTACTACTGTTACTACTGTTACTACAGTTACTACTGTTACTACTGTTACTATAGTTACTACAGTTACTACTGTTACTACTGTTACTACTACTGTTACTACTACTGTTACTACTGTTACTACTACTGTTACTACTACTGTTACTACTGTTACTACTGTTACTACAGTTACTACTGTTAATACTGTTACTACTGTCACTACTAATGTTACTACTACTGTTACTACTGTTACCACAGTTACTACAGTTACTACTGTTACTACAGTTACTACTACTGTTACTACTGTTACTACTACTGTTACTACTGTTACTACTACTGTTACTACTGTTAATACTGTTACTACTGTTACTACTACTGTTAATACTGTTACTACTGTCACTACTAATGTTACTACTACTGTTACTACTGTTACCACAGTTACTACAGTTACTACTACTGTTACTACTGTTACTACTACTGCTACTACTGTTACTACTCCTCGGAACATATAGTAACAATGGTTGTTATTACATGTTTTTACGTATGTTTTGTGTGCATTTTTATGTATTTTTCTTCTTTAAGTGCGGCTATGAACTGATAATATGGTTATGTTCTACAGTTTATACTCAATCCTTTCGTGATATTTATTTATTTATTCATCTGTTGGTTTTACGTCCGCTATAACAGCCTCTCAGCGGACGAGAATCCCTTCTGTATGGCTCATTCGTTTACATTTCACCTGGAGAGAGAAGTTTGCTTTTTTACATTACTTTTATTGGATAGAAAAACTACATTTTAAGACATTTGGCCAAGTTGATATGATAAGGTATTGTCAACAAGGTTACTTCCAGGGGATACAATCCATCCCAATACATACATGGAGTTAATTTAGTTAGATATTTTTTCTTTATTGCCCTGTAAGATTTAATTCCGTATCCCCCGTGAGTACCGAAACTGAAATTATCTACAACTGGTAGTCAGTATTTATTATAAATGAAAACAGGTTGAATTATATAACCGGAAGTAAACCCCCGTGAGTACCGAAACTAAAATTATCTACAACTGGTAGTCAGTATTTATTATAAATGAAAACAGGTTGAATTATATAACCGGAAGTAAACCCCCGTGAGTACCGAAACTAAAATTATCTACAACTGGTAGTCAGTATTTATTATAAATGAAAACAGGTTGAGTTATATAACCGGAAGTAAACCCCCGTGAGTACCGAAACTAAAATTATCTACAACTGGTAGTCAGTATTTATTATAAATGAAAACAGGTTGAGTTATATAACCGGAAGTAAACCCCCGTGAGTACCGAAACTAAAATTATCTACAACTGGTAGTCAGTATTTATTATAAATGAAAACAGGTTGAGTTATATAACCGGAAGTAAACCCCCGTGAGTACCGAAACTAAAATTATCTACAACTGGTAGTCAGTATTTATTATAAATGAAAACAGGTTGAGTTATATAACCGGAAGTAAACCCTCGTGAGTACCGAAACTAAAATTATCTACAACTGGTAGTCAGTATTTATTATAAATGAAAACAGGTTGAGTTATATAACCGGAAGTAAACCCTCGTGAGTACCGAAACTGAAATTATCTACAACTGGTAGTCAGTATTTATTATAAATGAAAACAGGTTGAGTTATATAACCGGAAGTAAACCCTCGTGAGTACCGAAACTAAAATTATCTACAACTGATAGTCAGTATTTATTATAAATGAAAACAGGTTGAGTTATATAACCGGAAGTAAACCCTCGTGAGTACCGAAACTGAAATTATCTACAACTGGTAGTCAGTATTTATCAAAATGAAAACAGGTTGAGCTATATAACCGGAAGTAAACCCCCGTGAGTACCGAAACTGAAATTATCTACAACTGGTAGTCAGTATTTATTATAAATGAAAACAGGTTGAGTTATATAACCGGAAGTAAACCCTCGTGAGTACCGAAACTGAAATTATCTACAACTGGTAGTCAGTATTTATCAAAATGAAAACAGGTTGAGCTATATAACCGGAAGTAAACATTTAATCTATGACTCTGAATGTAATGCTGATAGACGACCGGACGAACGGACATACACGGACATAACGGATCTCCTAGTCATTTTCCATCCATAACTCCACACGGATTATAGAAATTTCTTCAGAGATATCCGACATCAAAAGCTCGGAAACAGTCATGTATCTACTTTTCAATAATCCAGAAGACGAAGTAGATATGATTTAAATACTCCTGCCAACTACTTTATGAATTGTATTTTTCTGTGAATGGTATGTTGAAACATTAGATTTTGTGACTAGTACAGATTTAGCAGGAATTAACAATATGGGATTGAGTGAGATTCATATTCCACCAACACCCTCTCAGTATATCGTACTTAGTATCCGCTACATGTCCTAACGTAAATCGATTTTATATAAATAATGATAACGACACTTTAGGTACCTGTTAATGCACATCTTTTTATGATGAATGTAAATCCTACAACAGCTTAGCGATTCTACCATGTATTTACTCCATAGCCGAGAAAACAAAGTCGTAAATCCGTGTGACAGATGTCTACCATTCAGATACATTAAAAAAGGTCAAATTGAGGTCTTGAATGATTAACACCATTGCCGTCGTTTTCCATAAATCTTATTTACAACAGACCAAGGTGAGATTGTCCGCAAAAACGACAACTATATCAGAAATGGAAATAAAATTATGAAAAGACTTCGTAACATAGGACAATAATGGGTCCATTTTTTCTAATTTCAAAAACCTCGAATTAAATGGATATTTTTGACGCGACCATATCTAATTGTAAATGTTGCAGACACTGCTATTTCTATGTCGTTTCTAGTCATCTTTTCTCTTTATTCTATCATTCCACGGTCACGATATCTGAAAAAAATTTGACGTAATTTTATTGCTATCACAATATATCACGTGACTGTTTATAAGTATATAAAACACGTAAATATTATAATATGTATACATCTGAACAGGTCCAGATACTACCAGAGGTCTAGTTACGGTTGTTAAAGGACGGATAATAGACAGAACTTTCGTTTTACAAGTCCAGAAATCTACAATCATGAGAAGTCATTTGTAGGATTTACACGAATCCATGAGCCGTGGGTTGACTTGATATATCATGGCCAAGGCAAATACACAAGGCCGTTAATTGATTAGGTTTAGAACATCGAGCGAGGTAAACGTTTTAGCTTGGAACACTGCAAACTCAAATTTAAGATGAAAATCATAAGTTGTTTTGAAGACACCATTTATGACTTAATTGTATATAAGTATATCACTGTTTGTGAAAAACATGTACAAAGATTGCCAGCATCAAACATTTGCTAATCAACAATCGATGTTTTGTCTGTCGTCATTCGTTGTTTTGGTCGGAGATAGCCGATTCCCCGCCAGTTACATCATTGCATTAATTAAGTATGTACAGAACACGTGTCTCGGGACCACGTGTACGTACACACCTATTAGTGTGAAATGACTCGGCGTAAAATGTGTTATAATTCATCGAAATCCGCTACCATATCGAATCCAGACTTGGTAAAGTATTGTTGTTTTTTTTTAAATATCACATGCAGGTGAAACGTGAAAAAGACTGCAGAGAGAACCACGAAATTGATAAATTTGATTATCATTAACCTATCCGGCGATACCCGATGGTGTCACAGATTCCTGTGTGACTGATACAAATAAAGAAGTTGATAAAATAAAATGAAAAAACGTTACAAACAAATATCAACCTGGCAAAAGGGCAAAAATAACATGATAAAAACTCAAAACCCGAAATTGGTAGGGAAAAGTCTCAAGATCAATGAAGCCAATTCTAAATATAGATTTGGAACCCATGATGCACCCATTAATCTGCCAAGGCTGTTTCGATACTAAAAATCCTAAAATCAATTGTTACGCCCTATCTGAAAGTCGATTCGTCTCTAAAAACCAGGTTGACACGACAGTGATTCTTGTCGGTTTAGATATAAGTGGTTGTACTTACAATTTGTAATTTCCATGATCTACAGGAAAATCCCACCACACTCCCTTATTGTTTTAAGTATCCTAGAAATAGGGGGCACGAATATGGTCAGCTTAGGTGTTAAATACTTAGGCCCCGATGGGGAAGAATTGTTTTGATTTCTAAATTTTGTGCATGAACAACAACATTGCTTACAACGAAAAATAAACATGAATTTGGCATGGGTTAAACCTTTTGAGTCTCATAATTAACGATAAGTACATAACGACTTTTCCAATCGTTGTGAAATGGAAATCTGAATTTAGTCCCGGGAAGAGCATGAAATTTGTTCAAATTTCTGTACAATCTCAAGTTACATTATTAACATTCCGATGAAAGTATGGCACGGACATATTTTTTAAGAATTGGACGGTGCTCAATTAATAAGATTTATGAAACGGACGGACGGACGGAGTCCAAATGTATTGTAAATCATTACATGTTATTGCGGCGTTAAATGAAGATGATGTCGAGACGTGAATCATCCTTATTACTAGCATAGGTATCGCCAACCAAGAACGCCTACATAAGTTGTATTCAGAGATTTGAATGGGTGGACTATAATGTATTACTAAAGGTACTGAGCATTTGGACATCCAATCTGTAGTAATAAGAGAGGAGAAATAAAACGAGAACGACATTATCGCAATGTGATTTTGTTTTCACACAAGATCTTTCAAAGCCATCGACCGCTACAATGGCGAGAACCCGATAAGCTGTTGATAATCAGAGTATTATACACACATTACAATGTTACAGGATTTCGTCTAATCGTAATAAAAAGACCTATACATAATTATAATGTTATAGTTCATAGCTCAATTATGTGTATGTATGGTATACAGGAACGGGGACGCTCCAGTGACGCAATGATGTATGATACAGAGGACATGGAACACTATAATGTGCGGAATACAGGAACGGGAACGCTCCGGAGACGCAATGATGTATGATACAGAGGACTGGGAACGCTATAATGTGCGGTATACAGGAACGGGAACGCTCCGGAGACGCAATGATATATGATACAGAGGACCGGAAACGCTATTACGTACAGTATTCAGGAACGGGGACGCTCCAGTGACGCAATAATGTATGATACAGAAGATTGGGAACGCTATAATGTACGGTATACAGGAACGGGGACGCTCCGGAGACGCAATGATATATGATACAGTGGACTAGAAATGGTATAATGTACGTTATACAGGAACGGAGACGCTCCGGAGACTCAATGTTGTATGATACAGAGGACTGGGAACGCTATAATGTGAGGTATACAGGAACGGGAACGCTCCGGATACTCAATGATGTATGATACAGAGGACTTGGAATGGTATTATGTACGGTATACCGGAACGGGGACGCTCCGAAGTTTCAATGATGTATGAAACAGAAGACCGGGAACGCTATAATGTACGGTATACAGGAACGGTGACGATCTGGTGACGCAATGCGATATGATACAGAGGATTAGAAACGCTAAATGTACGGTTTACAGGAACGGAGACGCTCCGGAGACACAATGCGATATGACACAGAGGACTGAAAACGCTATAATGAACGGTATACCGGAACGGGGACGCTCTGGAGACCCAATGCGATATGATACAGAGGACTGAAAACGCTATAATGAACGGTATACCGGAACGGGGACGCTCTGGAGACCCAATGCGATATGACACAGAGGACCGGGAACGATAAATGTACGGTATAAAGGAACGGGGACGCTCCAAAGACACAATGCTATATGATACAGAGGACTAGGAACGCTACAATGTACGGTATGCAGGAACGGTGACGTTCCGGTGACGCAATGATGTATGATACGGAGGACTAGGAACGCTATAATGTACGGTATACAGGAACGGGGACGCTCCGGAGACGCAATGCGATATGATATAGAGGACTGAAAATGCTATAATGTACAGTATACAGGACCGGGAACGCTAAATGTACGGTATACAGAAACGGGGACGCTCCGGAGTCTCAATGATGTATGATACAGAGGACCGGGAACGCTATAATGTACGGTATACAGGAACGGTGACGCTCCGGTAACGCAATGATGTATGAAACAGAGGACTAGGAACGCTATAATGTTCGGTATACAGGAAAGGGGGACGCTCTGGAGACCCAATGCGATATGGCACAGCGGACCGGAAACGCTAAATGTACGGTATACAGTAATGGGGACGCTCCGGATACTCAATGATGTATGATACAGAGGACTTGGAATGGTATTATGTACGGTATACCGGAACGGGGACGCTCCGGAGTCTCAATGATGTATGAAACAGAAGACCGGGAACGCTATAATGTACGGTATACAGGAACGGTGACGATCTGGTGACGCAATGCGATATGATACAGAGGATTAGAAACGCTAAATGTACGGTATACAGGAACGGAGACGCTCCGGAGACACAATGCGATATGACACAGAGGACTGAAAACGCTATAATGAACGGTATACAGGAACGGGGACGCTCTGGAGACCAAATGCGATATGATACAGAGGACTGAAAACGCTATAATGAACGGTATACCGGAACGGGGACGCTCTGGAGACCCAATGCGATATGACACAGAGGACCGGGAACGATAAATGTACGGTATAAAGGAACGGGGACGCTCCAAAGACACAATGCTATATGATACAGAGGACTAGGAACGCTACAATGTACGGTATGCAGGAACGGTGACGTTCCGGTGACGCAATGATGTATGAAACAGAAGACCGGGAACGCTATAATGTACGGTATACAGGAACGGTGACGATCTGGTGACGCAATGCGATATGATACAGAGGATTAGAAACGCTAAATGTACGGTATACAGGAACGGAGACGCTCCGGAGACACAATGCGATATGACACAGAGGACTGAAAACGCTATAATGAACGGTATACCGGAACGGGGACGCTCTGGAGACCCAATGCGATATGATACAGAGGACTGAAAACGCTATAATGAACGGTATACCGGAACGGGGACGCTCTGGAGACCCAATGCGATATGACACAGAGGACCGAGAACGATAAATGTACGGTATAAAGGAACGGGGACGCTCCAAAGACACAATGCTATATGATACAGAGGACTAGGAACGCTACAATGTACGGTATGCAGGAACGGTGACGTTCCGGTGACGCAATGATGTATGATACGGAGGACTAGGAACGCTATAATGTACGGTATACAGGAACGGGGACGCTCCGGAGACGCAATGCGATATGATACAGAGGACTGAAAATGCTATAATGTACAGTATACAGGACCGGGAACGCTAAATGTACGGTATACAGAAACGGGGACGCTCCGGAGTCTCAATGATGTATGATACAGAGGACCGGGAACGCTGTAATGTACGGTATACAGGAACGGTGACGCTCCGGTGACGCAATGATGTATGATACGGAGGACTAGGAACGCTACAATGTACGGTATGCAGGAACGGTGACGTTCCGGTGACGCAATGATGTATGATACGGAGGACTAGGAACGCTATAATGTACGGTATACAGGAACGGGGACGCTCCGGAGACGCAATGCGATATGATATAGAGGACTGAAAATGCTATAATGTACAGTATACAGGACCGGGAACGCTAAATGTACGGTATACAGAAACGGGGACGCTCCGGAGTCTCAATGATGTATGATACAGAGGACCGGGAACGCTATAATGTACGGTATACAGGAACGGTGACGCTCCGGTAACGCAATGATGTATGAAACAGAGGACTAGGAACGCTATAATGTTCGGTATACAGGAAAGGGGGACGCTCTGGAGACCCAATGCGATATGGCACAGCGGACCGGAAACGCTAAATGTACGGTATACAGTAATGGGGACGCTCCGGATACTCAATGATGTATGATACAGAGGACTTGGAATGGTATTATGTACGGTATACCGGAACGGGGACGCTCCGGAGTCTCAATGATGTATGAAACAGAAGACCGGGAACGCTATAATGTACGGTATACAGGAACGGTGACGATCTGGTGACGCAATGCGATATGATACAGAGGATTAGAAACGCTAAATGTACGGTTTACAGGAACGGAGACGCTCCGGAGACACAATGCGATATGACACAGAGGACTGAAAACGCTATAATGAACGGTATACCGGAACGGGGACGCTCTGGAGACCCAATGCGATATGATACAGAGGACTGAAAACGCTATAATGAACGGTATACCGGAACGGGGACGCTCTGGAGACCCAATGCGATATGACACAGAGGACCGAGAACGATAAATGTACGGTATAAAGGAACGGGGACGCTCCAAAGACACAATGCTATATGATACAGAGGACTAGGAACGCTACAATGTACGGTATGCAGGAACGGTGACGTTCCGGTGACGCAATGATGTATGATACGGAGGACTAGGAACGCTATAATGTACGGTATACAGGAACGGGGACGCTCCGGAGACGCAATGCGATATGATACAGAGGACTGAAAATGCTATAATGTACAGTATACAGGACCGGGAACGCTAAATGTACGGTATACAGAAACGGGGACGCTCCGGAGTCTCAATGATGTATGATACAGAGGACCGGGAACGCTATAATGTACGGTATACAGGAACGGTGACGCTCCGGTAACGCAATGATGTATGAAACAGAGGACTAGGAACGCTATAATGTTCGGTATACAGGAAAGGGGGACGCTCTGGAGACCCAATGCGATATGGCACAGCGGACCGGAAACGCTAAATGTACGGTATACAGTAATGGGGACGCTCCGAAATCCCAATGATGTATGATACGAAGGACTGGAAACGCTATAATGTATGGTATACCGGAACGGTGACGCTCTGGAGACCCAATGATGTATGACACAGAGGACTGGGGAGACTAAAATGTACGGTATACAGGAACGGGGACGCTCTGGAGACACAATGCGATATGATACAGAGGACTAGGAACGCTACAATGTACGGTATACAGGAACGGGGACGCTCCGGAGTCTCAATGCGATTTGACACACAGGACCGGGAACGCTAAATGTACGGTATACAGGAACGGGGACGCTCCGGAGTCTCAATGATGTATGATACAGAGGACTAGGAACGCTACCATGTACGGTATACAGGAACGGGGACGCTCTGGAGACACAATGATGTATGATACAGAGGACTAGGAACGCTACCATGTACGGTATACAGGAATGGGGACGCTCTGGAGACACAATGATGTATGATACAGAGGACTAGGAACGCTACCATGTACGGTATACAGGAACGGGGACGCTCTGGAGACACAATGATGTATGATACAGAGGACTAGGAACGCTACAGTGTACGGTATACAGGAACGGGGACGCTCTGGAGACACAATGATGTATGATACAGAGGACTAGGAACGCTACAATGTACGGTATACAGGAACGGGGACGCTATATTGTATGGTATTTAGAATCGGGGACGCTATGATGTGTGATGTAAAGGGAAGGGAACATTATGACAGTATTGTATAGAAACGGGAACGCTATAATGTAAGGTATACAGGAACGGGGCACTATGACTATAGACGTTAAAGAGGAACGAGGAGGAAACAACAGAAACAAGTAGGTCATAGCGAAGTATACATACAAGTAGGTCATAGCAAAGTATACATACAAGTAGGTCATATCAAAGTATACATACAAGTAGGTCATAGCGAAGTATACATACAAGTAGGTCATAGCGAAGTATACATACAAGTAGGTCATATCAAAGTATACATACAAGTAGGTCATATCAAAGTAGGGCCTATACATATAAGCAGGTCATAGCAAAGTTGGTAATATACAGGGAACAAGTAAGTTAATTCCACAGTGTATGTATAAGTAGTTAATAATTACGTTCAGTCACCAGGTAGTCACAAACAACATCTTACAAAGTATATCATTGAAATGTGGGAAGTGTACAATGAAAATCACAATCCGCGAACCTAATGTACTGTCGACTTACACGTAATCTGCTGTCAGTCATCTGAAGGGGCGTGGCCTTTTATCGCACACATCCATATTAGCATGCGTCACGCGAGACATCGTCACATGCTCTTTGTGGCTCCGATAATGTTGCCGGACTAAGTACCAGTAAATGCACAAGGTTACTCTCGTCCACAGATCTCTGCTCCAGCTCACAGTAAGTAGTCAGGCTGAACGGCATTCATATTTATGTGGTGTGAAATGACTACCATTGAGGGTGTAATACATGTACATAGGAAATACGCGGCACGTGATTATACCTTTACTTGTTGGGCCGCAGAAATAGGTGTTATTTTTACGAGTAGGTAACACAACAACTGCTTTCCGTTTATTACCATTTTTTTTTGTTGTTCTGTGCTGCTAATTGGATTTTCATACTAAATTTTACATATACTATGTGTTGCACATATTCAGATATATCACGTGCAATATTTGTCAGCCTCCCGACAAGTGTACTGCTCAGGGTTCGGTAATATATGTATTCCCGAAAGACATTCCTGGTAGATATAAGAATACAGTATATGTGTTTATAGGTACTTCTGGTAGATATAAGAGTACTGACACGTGTTTATAGGTATTCCTGGTAGATGTAAGAGTACCGTACACGTGTTTATAGGTATACCTGGTAGATATAAGAGTACTGACATGTGTTTATAGGTATTCCTGGTAGTTATGAGAGTACTGACATGTGTTTATAGGTATTCCTGGTAGTTATGAGAGTACTGACATGTGTTTATAGGTATTCCTGGTAGTTATGAGAGTACTGACATGTGTTTATAGGTATTCCTGGTAGTTATGAGAGTACTGACATGTGTTTATAGGTATTCCTGGTAGATGTAAGAGTACTGACATGTGTTTATATGTATTCCTGGTAGATGTAAGAGTACCGTACACGTGTTTATAGGTATACCTGGTAGATATAAGAGTACTGACATGTGTTTATATGTATTCCTGGTAGATATAAGAGAACTGACATGTGTTTATAGACATTCCTGGTAGATATGAGAGTACTGACATGTGTTTATAGACATTCCTGGTAGATATAAGAGTACTGACATGTGTTTATAGGTATTCCTGGTAGTTATGAGAGTACTGACATGTGTTTATAGTTATTCTTGGTAGATATAAGAGTACTGACATGTGTTTATAGGTATTCCTGGTAGATATAAGAGAACTGACATGTGTTTATAGACATTCCTGGTAGATATGAGAGTACTGACATGTGTTTATAGACATTCCTGGTAGATATAAGAGTACTGACATGTGTTTATAGACATTCCTGGTAGATGTAAGAGTACCGTACACGTGTTTATAGGTATTCCTGGTAGATGTAAGAGTACAGTTAATGTGTTTATAGGTATTCCTGGTAGATATAAGAGAACTGACATGTGTTTATAGACATTCCTGGTAGATGTAAGAGTACTGACATGTGTTTATAGGTATTCCTGGTAGTTATGAGAGTACTGACATGTGTTTATAGTTATTCCTGGTAGATGTAAGAGTACCGTACACGTGTTTATAGGTATTCCTGGTAGTTATGAGAGTACTGACATGTGTTTATAGTTATTCCTGGTAGTTATGAGAGTACTGACATGTGTTTATAGGTATTCCTGGTAGTTATGAGAGTACTGACACGTGTTTATAGGTATTCCTGGTAGTTATGAGAGTACTGACATGTGTTTATAGGTATTCCTGGTAGTTATGAGAGAGTACTGACATGTGTTTATAGGTATTCCTGGTAGATGTAAGAGTACTGACATGTGTTTATATGTATTCCTGGTAGATGTAAGAGTACCGTACACGTGTTTATAGGTATTCCTGGTAGATGTAAGAGTACCGTACACGTGTTTATAGGTATTCCTGGTAGATATAAGAGTACTGACATGTGTTTATAGTTATTCCTGGTAGATGTAAGAGTACCGTACACGTGTTTATAGGTATTCCTGGTAGATATGAGAGTACTGGTAGTTATGAGAGTACTGACATGTGTTTATAGGTATTCCTGGTAGTTATGAGAGTACTGACACGTGTTTATAGGTATTCCTGGTAGTTATGAGAGTACTGACATGTGTTTATAGGTATTCCTGGTAGTTATGAGAGTACTGACATGTGTTTATAGGTATTCCTGGTAGATGTAAGAGTACTGACATGTGCTTATAGGTATTCCTGGTAGATGTAAGAGTACCGTACACGTGTTTATAGGTATTCCTGGTAGATGTAAGAGTACTGAGATATAAGAGTACTGACATGTGTTTATATGTATTCCTGGTAGATGTAAGAGTACCGTACACGTGTTTATAGGTATACCTGGTAGATATAAGAGTACTGACATGTGTTTATAGGTATCCCTGGTAGATGTAAGAGTACCGTACACGTGTTTATAGGTATTCCTGGTAGATGTAAGAGTACCGTACACGTGTTTATAGGTATACCTGGTAGATATAAGAGTACCGTACACGTGTTTATAGGTATTCCTGGTAGATATAAGAGTACTGACATGTGTTTATAGGTATTCCAGGTAGATATAATGTGTTTAGTACATTCCTGGTACATGTGTTTATAGTGCTATATTCCTGGTAGATGTAAGAGTACCGTACACGTGTTTATAGGTATTCCTGGTAGATGTAAGAGTACTGACATGTGTTTATAAGTATTCCTGGTAGATATGAGAGTACTGACATGTGTTTATAGACATTCCTGGTAGATATAAGAGTACTGACATGTGTTTATAGGTATTCCTGGTAGATGAAAGAGTACTGACACGTGTTTATAGGTATTCCTGGTAGTTATGAGAGTACTGACATGTGTTTATAGACATTCCTGGTAGATGTAAGAGTACCGTACACGTGTTTATAGGTATTCCTGGTAGATATAAGAGTACTGACACGTGTTTATAGGTATACCTGGTAGATATAAGAGTACTGACATGTGTTTATAGGTATTCCTGGTAGATGTAAGAGTACAGTATATGTGTTTATAGACATTCCTGGTAGATATAAGAGTACCGTACACGTGTTTATAGGTATTCCTGGTAGATATAAGAGTACTGACATGTGTTTATAGGTATTCCAGGTAGATATAAGAGTACTGACATGTGTTTATAGGTATTCCTGGTAGTTATGAGAGTACTGACATGTGTTTATAGACATTCCTGGTAGATGTAAGAGTACCGTACACGTGTTTATAGGTATTCCTGGTAGATATAAGAGTACTGACATGTGTTTATAGGTATTCCTGGTAGATGTAAGAGTACAGTATATGTGTTTATAGACATTCCTGGTAGATATAAGAGTACTGACGTGTGTTTATAGACATTCCTGGTAGATGTAAGAGTACTGACATGTGTTTATAGGTATTCCTGGTAGATATAAGAGTACCGTACACGTGTTTATAGGTATTCCTGGTAGATGTAAGAGTACCGTACACGTGTTTATAGGTATTCCTGGTAGATGTAAGAGTACTGACATGTGTTTATAGACATTCCTGGTAGATGTAAGAGTACCGTACACGTGTTTATAGGTATTCCTGGTAGATGTAAGAGTACCGTACACGTGTTTATAGGTATTCCTGGTAGATGTAAGAGTACTGACATGTGTTTATAGACATTCCTGGTAGATGTAAGAGTACCGTACACGTGTTTATAGGTATTCCTGGTAGATGTAAGAGTACCGTACACGTGTTTATAGGTATTCCTGGTGGATGTAAGAGTACTGACATGTGTTTATAGGTATTCCTGGTAGATGTAAGAGTACAGTATATGTGTTTATAGACATTCCTGGTAGATATAAGAGTACTGACGTGTGTTTATAGACATTCCTGGTAGATGTAAGATTACTGACATGTGTTTATAGGTATTACTGGTAGATGTAAGAGTGCCGTACATGTGTTTATATATCTATACACTGTTTATATTTTAATAGGTACACATTGTAGCACAACGTATTGTATTATGAACTGAATTTTTCAGTAATCAAACTAGAAGCCGACTCACCAAGGGTCAATATCTATTATAGTTAAAATTTTTAGTTCCCTTCAAAGACACGAACTTATTTATCAGTTGTGAATACAACAAATGGTTTTAATATATTTCTGTGAAACGTGTGCACGCTGGCACAAATATTTGATAGGATTTCTGATCTATATCACTGACTTTTATCAATATATGAATCAGTAAATTTTAATGTCTGAAACCAATCGGAAGCTAACTGTATATCATGGATTTATTCATGACATATTTAGAACATTCTTATCCGGTCTATATGAAGATACACAAAACAACAGCTAAATGAGCAAGATATCTCGTAGGCCTGTAGAATTATACCCAGAACACAAGGAGGGGAAGTTGGGCTTTGTGATTTTTTTATAGTAAGTGAGTTGTAATGGAAAAGGCCTTTGTTGCGATTAAATCGATTGCGAGTTTCTTTACCATTTTCGCGTGACACATATCTGGTCAGTGAGTCAGCAGTTTCTTGTGATTTCAAACGCAGTAATTATTTGATGATACCAATTCGTCTGCATGCAGTGCTAGACTGATGTGCTGTCTTGTTATCTTATTTTCAGTTTCCTGCACTGATGATGTCAGGAGAGGATACCATGCTTTCCAAACGACTCCACAGTATACAAATTGGCGGGAAAAAGAGCGAGGACGTTGAGGAACGGCATTTCCGCTTGTCGGTAATGGGGGCCTCATGCGTCGGGAAATCAGCAATTATTTCACAGTTCCTGTATGACACATTTTCGTCTGATTATCACGAAACAGTTGAAGATCTGCATCGTAAAGTAGTTGACCTAAACGGACGCAAAGTCATCCTTGACATTCTGGACACGGCTGGAACACACGAGTTCCCAGCCATGCGAAAATTGGCAATAGCCACCAGTGATGCGTTCGTTTTAGTGTATTCCGTAGACAATGACGCCTCATTCGACGAAGTAAAACTTCTCCGTGAACAGATCATTGAGGAGAGGAACGACGTGCCTATTGTTATTGTTGGAAACAAAGCCGATGTTTGCGAGCAGACGAGAATAATGGAGCACGAGACTGCCGAAACTATAGCTTGTGTGGAATGGGGATGTGGTTACGTTGAGGCTTCCGCGAAACAGAATTTGAATATCCCGCAAATTTTCGCGGAAATGCTAAGACTCAGTGATGTTCCTTGCCTTACCTTGCCGGAAGGACAGCGGACAAAGCGAAAACGACTTCTTTCTGCGCCTCTACCGACGATTCATCACGTTTTTGAAACCCCCAAGGGCCCAAAGAGAAACAGTTGTGCCGTATCGTAGCTAATGGAAGCAAAGTTTAATAATGTTATAACGTTATAAACGTTTATGTGAGCACGAAATACAGATTTTGTAATTGTGTATTTTTTTCTAATAAAATCAATTATCACCTAAAAAACCATCGTTCCGTGATCCTGCATTACTGTATTGTTGTAGAAATTACTGTTAAAATCCAAGAGATGATAGATTCTTAATTTTAACTTAATAAATGACATTCGCTGATTATATCCTTTTCAATGCGGTTAGCGGTTCCAACAATAGGTATCGTTAAGGTGACCTTCAGTAAACAGAAATAGATTTTGATGCAACTTGGCATTATATAAATAAGATCTCGGATGAGTTTAACATTGGGGCCAATTCAGTCGTAATTTACAGAGTTATAGTCCTTGGCACCTGCATTATCATTGGACATTTTGAACATGGTAGTTTTAGTAATTATGAATGGATTTCGATAAAACTCGGAATATAGCCTCGTATCATTATGATTTCGAATGAGTTTAACAATGAGATAAACTCTATATAACTTACAGTGTTATGGTTTTCGCAGTTAAAGAGTCAGGTGACCATTTAGGCCTGCAAACATTTTTTTTTATCTCTTTCAGAATGTCTTGACTTTTATTCACGATCCGAACGTTTCTTTGTTATGACAAGCTCTATAATTATAATCCGATGTTTACTCTGTACATATAGCTTCTCTCTCCGGATGTCACGTTTTCTATACACAATTCTTAATTTTACATCTGACGTTTTCTGTATACAGAGCCCCTTCAGTCTGGATCTGACGTTTTCTGTATATAGAGCCCCTTCAGTCTGAATCTGACGTTTTCTGTATATAGAGCCCCTTCAGCCTGGATCTGACGTTTTCTGTATATAGAGCCCCTTCAGTCTGGATCTGACGTTTTCTGTATATAGAGCCCCTTCAGTCTGAATCTGACGTTTTCTGTATATAGAGCCTCTTCAGTATGGATCTGACGTTTTCTATATACAGAGCCCCTTCAGTCTGGATCTGACGTTTTCTGTATATAGAGCCCCTTCAGTCTGGATCTGACGATTTCTGTATATAGAGCCCCTTCAGTCTGGATCTGACGTTTTCTGTATATAGAGCCCCTTCAGTCTGGATCTGACGTTTTCTGTATATAGAGCCCCTTCAGTCTGGATCTGACGTTTTCTGTATATAGAGCCCCTTCAGTCTGGATCTGACGTTTTCTGTATATAGAGCCCCTTCAGTCTGGATCTGACGTTTTCTGTATATAGAGCCCCTTCAGTCTGGATCTGACGTTTTCTGTATATAGAGCCCCTTCAGTCTGGATCTGACGTTTTCTGTATATAGAGCCCCTTCAGTCTGGATCTGACGTTTTCTGTATATAGAGCCCCTTCAGTCTGGATCTGACGTTTTCTGTATATAGAGCCCCTTCAGTCTGGATCTGACGTTTTCTGTATATAGAGCCACTTCAGTCTGGATCTGACGTTTTCTGTATATAGAGCCCCTTCAGTCTGGATCTGACGTTTTCTGTATATAGAGCCACTTCAGTCTGGATCTGATGTTTTCTTTATATTGAACCTCGTCAGTCTGGATCTGACGTTTTCTGTATATAGAGTCCCTTCAGTCTGGATCTGACGTTTTCTTTATATATAGAGCCCCTTCAGTCTGGATCTGACGTTTTCTGTATATAGAGCCCCTTCAGTCTGGATCTGACGTTTTCTGTATATAGAGCCCCTTCAGTCTGGATCTGACGTTTTCTGTATATAGAGCCCCTTCAGTCTGGATCTGACGTTTTCTGTATATAGAGCCCCTTCAGTCTGGAAAAAAAACATTTCTTTATCTTTCCAAGATCCATCTTGTCAGTCACTTAGATAGAAATATTTTGTCTCGGTAAAAACACATAACAACGCACACAAAAATGGAAACACAAATTACGTATTATAAAACTCGAAATAACGTTAAAATCGGAGCCCAAACCATTTCATCATTTCCAGAAAGAAGCAAGTCTATATTTAAAAACAAAGTTTTAAGGTTGAGGAAAATCAAAACTCTCTGTTGTTCATAATTTGGACAATAGCAGGCTTACACACGTGCAATCAAATACATGTACACTCGCCTCGCATGCTGGGAGACCGTACTTACATGACCGTCCTTACATGACCGTGCCGATGTAGCTGTTGATAAGACGTTAAACAATACAAATTAAACCAAAATACAAAAGTTCTAATGTTACACAACAACCGACTAAGAATCCTTGGTTTGAGCGATTGTGTTCATTGACCTATAATTTGTGCTTGTGGTTTAAAGGAAATATGGAGTCAAAATTCAACGTTTGAAATTTATAATCTATAATGAGGTGTTTATTCGGATGATAACACAAACATTCGCGTTAGTACGCCCTTATTTATGTAATCACATGTTTATACGTAATTACGACAATACAAGTTTTTTTTTCAACAAGTGACACTAATTGTCTTTCGTACGCGTCCATTTGAAATGTATTAAGGAAGAACATCGATAGGAAAACTGATCTCAGTGGCATCTCCCCCGTGTCCATGGTGACGGAATATTTCGTTAGATTTGCAATGTTTGTTTGAAACATGATCTCGAAATGTAGGGTTTGATACCAATTAATATCGAGAAGATGACCTCCACATCAAACGCTGTAGCTGAGAACGCCCTAAAGACCGTCACGAGATCGGCTAACTCGTCGGCTCCATCAGTGACAGAGAAGAGGACTGGATGCAGCAGGGGACAAAGAAGGTCTTTAACCTCAACAAAGATGGCGGGACGTACCGTCTACGGTATATTTCTGAATTATTACGTCACTCCTTCGACTTGCTAAGCTTTGTGAAAACATTGTATCTGTTTAAGTTGGTTATTTCTTATTACCAACGTAAGTTGTTGGAACAACAATGGCGACAAATGTATGTCCGATAGGAATGTTAGGAATTTGGTGAATCTTTTCCAGTTTTGTTTACAGATTATTTCAATAACACCCCCACATTCCTAGATCAGGGTCAATGACACTGCAGACACAGAAACCCAGATATCTATCTGTAGAATGATAAAGACATCTTAGAATGGTTTTTTTCATGCATATACATGTTTAAGTACTGTACATATCAGGGGCTGATCAGGAGTTTTCCTGGGGATGTTCCCGATTTGGTTGTACTGTTATTCTTTTTACTGCTTCTAAGATATATTTTCTGAGAGAACTTAACGAAGCCTAAATCTTACTTGAGCTTGCTTATGGACTTAGCAAATGATATAAACCCCAAGCATACGCATTTGGAAGCCATTGTTGCCGTTAGACAAAAAATCTCACATCAAATATCTTGACGATACTAATAATTATGACAACTAATGAAATTGTAAACAAATGTTCTTTCACATCGATGACATTTATCAATTATCAATGTTTTTAGGAATATGTCTTTTTTACGGGAAAATTCTACCATACAAACAGGTTCTCGTGGATTTTGAGTGAAGGGATAGACTCGTTGTTTGACTGGACATAATTTAGAACAGATTTTCCATCAAACAGTGAGTTTGGATGAAAAAATAAGAAAATGTAATTGTTTGAATAATAGATTTGTAGTTGATAATATAATTACTGGTTTGCTGATGACGCGATAGCTACACTACACTGGTAACAGTAGCGCAGTGATGAAGGAATTGTGCTGACATTGTAGAACTAAGGGTGTTGAGATCCAGCTAAAAGCTTGTCACAGGCGCGTTGTGTCCGTCACTAACTCAATCACAGAAAACGAGACTACGCTTTTGAATTTCGCAAACAACTTTTAATGTCAGATTGTCTACAGCTTACCAGTGTAATTGATTTGTGCCTCTGAGATCAGGACTGACCTAACACTAAACGGCATTGACCGTTTCCTCAAATGTCACCCGCTGGTAGTATACGACTTACAAGCCGAAGCCTTACGTACAGCCGCCGTGCTGGGCCTAGCGCCAGACTGAGAAATCTTCTCATTTAAACAAGGCTTGTAAGGCTTTTCTTAATTGTTTTATGGCGCGATATTTCATGTTTAAAAGGTCGTTCATGAGAGTCCAATGTACTGATGAAATCACTTTAAGCTGTATGTGACTTACTGCTGAAGACATCTAATTACAAGTTTCGCATACACACTAATGTTAGTCGCTTTCATTCTAGATTACACATATATACTGTTATTTAATTTGACCTAGGGTTCCGTTAATTCCCATCATGGAAGTTGCCAGCATCTTTCTAAATTTATTATAGAGAAACGTGTTCTAATCAAACCTACGGTAGATTGTGAAGACAGTGGGACAATGTCCTTCAGATCACATCATTGCTTATTTTAGATAAAACGTTTCGTTTTAAGTGTCCTTTTAATATTGTACCTCTACTCTGATCTCACAATGCTTTGTGCTTTCTGACAATCTTTTCTACAGCCATTTTCATTCTTTAACGGTGGCATGAAACACAAGCAATCATCAGAATGTGATTTCTGACGGTGGCATCAATCTAACACAGTCCTTGGAATGTGATTTCTGACGGTGGCATCAATCTAACACAGTCATTGGAATGTGATTTCTGACGGTGGCATCAATCTAACACAGTCCTTGGAATGTGATTTCTGACGGTGGCATCATTCTAACACAGTCCTTGGAATGTGATTTCTGACGGTGGCATCAATCTAACACAGTCCTTGGAATGTGATTTCTGACGGTGGCATCAATCTAACACAGTCCTTGGAATGTGATTTCTGACGGTGGCATCATTCTAACACAGTCCTTGGAATGTGATTTCTGACGGTGGCATCAATCTAACACAGTCCTTAGAATGTGATTTCTGACGGTGGCATCAATCTAACACAGTCCTTAGAATGTGATTTCTGACGGTGGCATCAATCAACACAGTCCTTAGAATGTGATTTCTGACGGTGGCATCAATCTAACACAGTCCTTAGAATGTGATTTCTGACGGTGGCATCAACCTAACGCAGTCCTTAGAATGTGATTTCTGACGGTGGCATCAATCTT